ATTAACGATTTTTAAAAGAGAATTCGAATTTGAGCACCACTTGTGCAGCTTGAAATGCGCGCCTTTGCATATTTCGTTCAATTGAAAATACAGGTCTTTTAACTTATCGAGAGTGTCTTGACCACACAAAAGATCATCAACATAGCACTGTGAGAGGATTGTGTCAGCGGCAAGAGGGTATTCTTCCTTATTTAAGAATGCCAGCTCGTTTAGAACACGAGTGGCTAAATATGGAGCGGAGTTAGTACCATAAGTCACTGTTTGCAGCTCAATACATTGAAAATCATGAGCGGGATTACTACGCCAGAGGATATTTTGCAAGTATGTCTGACGTGGGTTCACTCGGACCTGTCTGTACATTTTCTCAATGTCGGCAGTGAGGACGAATTTGAAGCTTCGGAATCTCAGCAAAATATCATAAAGATCAGGTTGAACTGTGTATCCTTTGTACATTGTATCATTTAATGATAATCCTGATGACGATTTCATAGAGCCGTCAAACACTACTCGCAATTTCGTACTTGTGCTTTGTTCGCGGATAACACAGTGGTGGGGTAGAAAATATTTGTTATGGCCGTGAATGTTTTTTAATGAGAGAGGAACGACTTGCGCGTGTCCTAAAGAGAGATATTCATCAATAAAATTTTTATATTCCTGAAATAAATTTGGATTTTTTTCGAATCGCCTTTCTAAATTAAGGAATCGTTTTTTGGCGAGAAAGAATGATTCTCCCAGAGGAAATAATTTTTCAGGAATTTTGAGGGGAAGATTCACTTGAAAAGAACCGTCATTCAAAATAACGGTAGTTTCGCGAAAATTAGTTTCCACAAAGTTATTTTCTGGAGATAAAATTTTCTCCGAGGATTGAGGGCAGTTCTCCATGTTCCAAAATTTTTCCAACAATGAATCAAGAGCAAGATCTGAATTCCGAGCAAGAAGACAGCTGCGGTTGTTGGTGACATCAAATATAGCCTGTGTTGAGAAAGTATCCGGAGGAATTAGGCCAGACAAGAGATATCCAAAGTGTGTTCCAACCAAAGTGAGGGAGTGTTCATTAATTTTTAATAGGTCACCTGATAAAATCTTATAATAAATATCAGCACCAAGTAACATATCTACACAAGCAGGTTGATCAAACTTAGGGTCAGCAAGTTCAATGCCTTGAGGGATCTGCAAGTTACTTTGTTTTACTCGAACTCGAGGACTGACATCAGTAATTTTATTTAAGATGCAACAATTTGCATCGAGAGAGAAATTTCCTATCAACGAGCATAATGTAAGTCGAATTACTTTGCTCGTGTGTTCAATTTTTCCCCCAATTCCTGAAATTTGAACGTTTTGAGTTTCCGGGGTATGATTGAGCATTTCCAACAGTCGTTCAGTGATAATGGATATAGTGCTGCCAGAATCAAGTATGGCTCTGGCAGTAATGGTATGTCCATTTTTGGCAACGATGTTGACAAGGGCTGTTGCCAACAATACTTCGTTATCTTCTTGTGTAAAAACAGTGAGTGTTTGGTGACTATTAGTGGTTTGCTGGGGTAGATCATTGGGGTTTGTTTGGGATGGCTGCTTAGGTTCAGGGGGTTGAGAAGTAGAGTTCATGCCTTGGTTACTCTGACGAGCATTGTTTTGAGAATTGTTCTGTTTGAACCTTTGAGTGGGGTGACTAGCAGAATGCAGCAACGAGTGGTGTCTTTTCTTGCATACTGAGCAAGACAAGAGTGACATGCAGTCACGAATATGATGTTTCGAACCTAAACAGTTTATACATAATTTGTTCTGATAAACAAAATCACTTCTTCGGTTCAAGGGCAATTGAATAAACTGTGAACAAGAGTAAATTCTGTGAGTGGGTAATTTACAAAAAATACAATTAGTGGGCCTAGAGGTTCCAAATTTATTTGAGATATCGTGGGATGAGTGAGTGTGGTGAGAATTAATTTGGCCATTACCACCTGGCTCATTGAATCCTTGAGCAAGGTGAGTAGCCCTATAGAAGCTACTATGGGCAGGGCCTCGAGGGGGACCGGTTTGAGTGTGAGGGGATATTTTGGGTTCTGAGAGGTCTTCCAAAACAGAGCAGCGTGATTCAAGGAAACTGAGTAAGTCATCTAGTTTTGGAAAGGTACCTGATGTAGCCTTTGATATATGTGCCCCTCGCTCAGCAATGTACGCCTTCCGCGTGCCATAATCTAGTTTTTGGGAAAAAATGTAAATGAGTATTAAATCCCATTGGTCTACTGGGATTCCTTGAGTTTTGAGAGAGTCGAGATTTTGTTTTATTTTTACGATAAAATCTCTAATAATATGAGCATTTACCTTAGTGAGAGAGGGTATGTCAACTAAATTCTTAATGTGCGAGAATATTATTGACAATTGATTATCATAACGTTGTTTCAGGGTTTCAATGGCAATATTTAAATTTGAGTCAGTTAATTGTAAAGTGTCAATGAGGTGTAGAGGCTCTCCTGATAGGTATGATTTCAGGTAAATTAACTTTTCTATATTTGAAAGCATATTGTTGTTAACGATAAGCGTATTAAATAATTGGTAGAATGCATTCCAACTAGTGAGGTCTCCATTAAACCGAGGAATATGCAATTGAGGCAGATTAACGTTAGGTTTTTGACCCTGATGATTTGATACGGGTACTGATGCCTGTTGAGTTTGCGATTGAGGCGAGAGCGTTATAATTTTACCCCTTAACTTTGCTCGACATGAGCAATACTTATCATCTATGTCATCCTTGTCTTGGCTGTTGGAATCTATGTTCATAATTTGCATATTAACGGCTTCATACAGCGTGAAAGCTTGGGTTAAGCAATCTAACCTAGCTTCAAATTCCAAATAATCGGTTTCTGTGGTTGCGTTTTTATTATACCAATTTATAATTTTCGATATTTTTCCTTTATAAATTCCGCGTTCTTTAACCAAAGCTTCCAAACTTGCAGCCATTTTTTTTTACCAAGGCACGACAACTATTATAAATAAAAAAAACAATTTAGATAGCTCGCTATTACAATAGTTAGAATACCTGTGGGTTAGTGACGTTATATCTAGAAAATTTAGATGACAAAATGACCTACAATAAATTTAGAAACAATTAATTTACTAATCTAGTAGAGAAAGAGTTATTCTGAGTAACTTACTACAATATCAACTTATATGGGAGGCTAGCAGTGTAAATCTAGTGCGAAAATAACAACAATAAAAAAAATGAGGAAAGAGAGCAATATAATATGGTTTATATGATTTTCTTCGGGAGAGAGTCTCTAAAAAAGTTTATAGTCTATCGAGGACGAGATAATAGAGATTGTGGAGAATGGAATCCTGTTGAGACAATTTGCAAGACTACTTGTCTTACCTGGGATACTTCCAGCTTACACCTATCTCTTTTTAGCACACTATCACACACACGCGTTGTAGTCGAGTTACACTGTCACACACTCATCACTTCTTGTAGTTGTTTTAATGTCCAAAATACTGTCACTGTTTGAATTACCCTTTTATTGGAGCACTTCTACTATTGTGAGTTTTTTGTAAACATATACCATCACTTAAGGACCTTTTAAAGATCCGGCTCGAAGGACCAGCTTTTGTATCGGTACTACTGCTTGAGAGCACCAAATCCAAAATTGAGAGTAATATTCAAATTACTCTCGAATGTGTAATTAATTTCAAAGTGGACCAGTACACGTCGCAAAAAACTACTAGGGTCAACAACAACACGTATATTGGCAAATGATAAAACTTTAAACACGGTGTAAATCAAACTGAAATTAAACAAATTCACTGCAGCTTCCCATTAACTTAAAGGTAAACTTGATATATAAAATACCTACAATAAATAGGTGAGAGAGAGAAATAACATTACCTAACTGAGGTGGTATTTTAAGTGTTTTGCAGGTCAATTTAGCAAAGCGTGTGAAAGCATCCCTTCGTGATCAACTTTCTATTTTGTATACATTAGGTAGTAGGATAATTTTAACATATTTACAAAACTAATACTAGGTGTTTATCAAAATAGTAAAAAAAAACAAATGCGTTTGAATTGTATTCGAACACAAACATCAGATCATTCCAGAAAATTCACGTATCACAGTTTTAATGACAACTTAACAAGTATAGCTAGAGACGTGAGAAATATAAAATAACACGCGACCGGTGCTATCCCCAAGTCTCTTCCTATATTTGTACAACTGTACCATACTTTTGCGTAACGGCTTGACCGATTTTGATGAAATTTTATATGTATATTCAGTAGGTCTGAGAATAGGTTATCTATTTTTTATACCCCTAGGTAATAAGGGTGGTCTACTCCAATTTTTTTGTATTTTTTGGACGAATTTTTTTTATTATTTTTTATGATGTGGCATTAAAAAATACATACAACCCTAAATTTTCACCCTTCTACCATCAAACCCTATTTTTTAAGCGATATTAGTAATTCAATAATTTTCAACCCCATGAATAAAAATGACTGTTGTCCCATAATAGTATATTATTCAACGAGCATATAATGGCGGCTGTTATTCACGCGGATATAAGTTTATTATAAATCATCCAATTGAATAACAGCCATTATATGCTAGTGGAATACTATACTTTATCCAGGACTATCAAAAAAATTTAGATAATACTAATATAAGTTTTTATTTTTAATATCAAAAAAATATTGAACGGGTATAACGAGTAAGTAACATGGAAACAAAACACTGAAATTTTCTCTTGTTTGGAATATGGATTGAGATATCCGTGGAAGCGGTGAATAATGAAACCATTATTCACTAGTGAATAATGAATATTATTATTATTTTATAAACTCATGTATAATAATCAAATTATAGACGAGTCGTGAATAAAAAATATTTATATGGCAAAACAACGTTTGCCAGGTCAGCCTAGTGATAATATAATATTTCGAATAGTATTGATAATGCAGAGAACCACCGGCACCGTTGTGATCAGTAATATTGAACCACCGTTTGCTTTTTTAGGTTGAAGGTGTTTGAACGTTTAAGCGACGCATGTTTGGAGTTGGCTGAAAGGAGACTTCTAAAATTGAATTCACATGATATACTTCTGAAGAAAAAGGATTGGGTTAGAAAATTGTCTTTAATGTATCGTCCCGATGTTCCGAAAGTCCGCCATATTGTAAATTGCAGTTCCAAAATGTAAGTGAAATGTTAGACTTTTTTTCTCAATAACAAGTGGCCGGAAACACTGCGACCTGTGAGTAGTGATATTAATATTTCGGAAACTTTTGATTGTTGCAGGAAATTTCCGAAACTTTCGGAAATTTTACAATTTTACATATTTTTTGTTGATACAATGAATAAATTAGATAGACATTTGATACCAACATGTAAGTGGAAAAAAAACAATAAACATAATATTAGTTGTTATATTTTTAATAAACAATACATAACTCCTAAAAGTCATAAACATAACATATAACAAAAATTATTTTGTAACATTTGTACTTTGTACATAAACCATGAACTATGACTATGAACTTAAAAAAAAACAAAAAAGCACGAAATATAAATTTAAAAAACGTAAAACACAAATAACTGAATTATTCTATTCCAGAATACTTTCAGGCGCCGAGCTGGTCCCATCTTCATAGAGTATTATAATAGTATAGTAGTAGTACTGTCTTCGTCAGTTTTTATTTCCAAATTAGGTATATTTGATGTATCATCTGGTTCTGATTCTAAAGGATGGACCTCTACCTCTACGGGTTCTAGTAGTTCTGGAGGCGTTTCATGTTGTTGCATATCATGTTCCATATCCACTTTTTGTTTTTGTAGTAATAATTTATTGTTATGAGCTACGAACATTATTTTGCCAGCTCTTTGTGCAGTTAAGCAATTCCTTTTTTAGTATGGATACAACTGTAAGTACTAAAACTTCTCTCAGTGGCTGCAGATGACGTTGGTAAAGACAGCAGAGCAACAGCTAAATATTTCAACTGAGTATTTTTACATATAGCTTGCCACCAACTTAGACAGTCTACATTTTTAACTGACATCTAAACGTAGTCGAGAGCCCATAAACCCGATTTGGCGCAATAATTTGTTACATCTGTAAAAATGGCTTCTTTATTATTGACAAACTGAGGATGTTTGTTGGTGATATTGTTGATAAATTCCATAGTGGCTATGTGTTATTCATTGTTAAGGTGCTCTTCCAGGAAACAGAGGGTGCCAAGGGATTCGCGGCAAAATGCATTATTTTAAAAGCCATACGTTTTCTATTTTGTAAGGCGGAGAAGCATTCTTTTTCTTCTGATTTAAGAATAGGCATACTTGATACACTTTCGTTAAATTTTTGCTCAATGTCTTGAATTTTGAAAAGAAATTTCTTGCAAAATTCGGATTTTTGCGAATATTCGCGATTTTGGGACCGAATATTTCGGAAATTTCTGAAATTTCCTGCAAAATTCGAATGGAAATATTCGCTACCAACATCACTACCTGTGAGGCCTATTGTGTTTGTCTCCTTTCTGTATCTGCACCCATTCTCCTATCCCTGTGCCCTGCACTAACTTATGCAGGTCCTTGATAGGATAGGAGTGATAGGTTCTTCCGGTTCTAGCCTAGCTTTCTCAAATAAAAGTGTCGCTTGCGATCCAAAGCCTCGCAGTCACATATTATGTGCTCCGCTGATTCAGTATCTTTATCGCATAGTCTGCAGCAAAGACTTCCTTGATACAGGTTGAGCTTGTTCAGATAACACTTGACAGTCATGTGCCCTGTCAAGAGGCCTGTTGTAATCCGCACTTTATTCCTGCTAAGCATTAGCAGTTCTTTTGCGGTTGTAGAGCTAGGCCCTTGGATAAAGGCCTTGCTGTGTCTGTGCCCCTGTTTGTTTCTCCAGTGGACATTCTCATTTTCCCTGTTCCAGAGTCTTAGTGCCATACATTTAGGTATTCCCAGTACTAGCTCTGGACTAAGATAGGATGCCGATGATCTGTTAGACTTAATATGCTTGATAAACGGTGTCTAAGTTATTTATACGGAGCAATCCCAAATGATTAAAATAACCGGCTATTCCGATGTTCATTTGGTTGGCCATAAATTTAATAAATTTAAATATTTATCAGCTGTTATCAGAAGCGGCAAAATAAACGAAAAAGTAAATAATATGATTTCAATATGAAGGATTTCTAATTTAATTTTTGAATAAACTCTCAAAATAAATAAAAAATAGATGTTAGGTTATGTACTCGTAATAAAGTTTGATAATGCATACTAAGGTTTCATAAACTGGTTTTATTCCAAAAAATGTGTGTTAGAAGGTATCCAAAATAATCACCTGCATATTATTGAGAAAAATTCCATTTTCTGATTGGCCATAAGAGATGCACCCCCTAGCGGACATTTTTCGAACTTGAAAATAATTTCCATCTATTTCTCTTCGCCGCCGATTTACTTCTTCCAATTATTTTCCCAAAACTATACGATAAGTAATTTCTGAGATACAGCCGGCTTTCGTTCTTTGTTGGCCACCCGGTACATTTATATGATATAAAATAGGAAATCCAATTTAAAACATTCAAAACATTAATATCTTGATTGAGCAAATAATAAATAATTAGTACTTACTTTTAATCAGCCTTAAAATATAACTAATAATATCACTGATACTTTAAGAAAATACCACGGGCACTGGGTGTTTTATGAATGAAATCGGTCATGTTTTGTTACAACAGCACTCCCCTTACTTGTTTCTATTGTATTCCATTTGCTTCGTAAATTTTATTTGGAAACCCGCCAGGGCAGTGGCGTATCCAGGATTCATGCCTGGGGGGTCAATAACTCAGTATTATACCTAAATATATATTTTTTTACATTAACAAGTAAGTACCTACCTAATTACAGCTAGGTACTATGATAAATAGTAGGTATAAATAAATAACAAATATTTTTCTTAGGATAATGGTTTAATAATTTTTCTATACTTTGCTAAACTGTTGACCGAAGAAAGGACCGAATACCAACAAACATTGCAGCCACAATCCGACATTCAAATAAGAACCGCAGCCTCTCCAGTGGATCAATATCAAAGAAGTAAAACAAATTTGCCAAACCCTGAAAAATAGAAAATCGCCTGGTCCAGGTGAAATTCCTCCAGAATTACTCAAGTATGGCACGGATAAATTATATAAGCAGCTCGCTAGTTTTTTCCAAAAGTGCCTTAATGGTGAAAATATAGCGAAAGAATAGGAGACATCATATATAACAACAATACACAAGAAAGGAAGTAAAGACGATTGCGATAATTATCGAGGAATCTCCGTGTTGAGCTCTGTTTCAAGGGTCTATGGAAAATTGGTCAAAAAAAGAATTGAGGAAGAATACCGGGATATGGAGGCTGAAGAACAAGCGGGGTTTAGAGCTGGTAGATCCACGGTCGACCATTTATTTACACTGACACAGATAATTGAGAAAAAGATGACAAGAAATCAAGAAATACATCTCCTTTATGTAGACCTCAAGAAAGCATAAGTGTACCCCAGTCTAAATTGTGGGAAGCCCTCGAGAAAACGAATATCAGCAAAACATTAATTAAGGCTGTCCAAGAACTTTATAAGAACAACACTAGCCAAGTAAAGAAAGGAAAACAGTATCAAAGGGATTCAGCATAAACAAAGGTCTTAAACAGGGCTGCTGTCTATCGCCGACACTGTATAAAATCTATTTGGAACAAGCTCTGAAAACGTGGAAAAGGAAGTGCGAACAGATGGGGATACCACTAAACGACTCGATACTTTACACTCTTTGTTTCGCTGATGATCAAATAATACTGGCTCAAGACTACTAAGTAACATTACATCACAAAAAAAATAATCATTAACACAAAAATTAACTAAAAATTAAAGAAACAAATAACAAAATAAGAAGAAACAAACAAAAGGCCAAGTGAATAAAGTAAAAGCACAGATACAAATAAAATTAAATAACAATATCCAGGCTTTTTTGCCTGCATTTCATTAAGTACCTCCTCTGTACTAACAGATATTTCTGGATACATATACAAAAGGGATAAGCCATTTAGTCTGTCTTTACTTACGGTTTTACTGACGTAGGACTTTAACAATTTTAGGGTTGAAAATTTCCTTTCAGGTGTAGCCGTACTAACGGGTGAAGTGCAATTTTTTTTTAATAAAATAAATATGTTAGGAAGTAGTTCTTGGTCAAATCTTAACAGAGCATCGAGTGCGGAACTTGGGTAATCTTCTGGTGCATAGTCTTCAAATATTCTATGCTAGAGCTTAAATTCAGCCGAAACTACAGAAAATGAAGAGTTTTCTAAATCGTTTTTATAAAAATCTATAGCATATATTTTAAATGCGATACTTCATAATCGGATTTTATTTAGGGAGGGAATATAAGAGAGCTAAATGACCGTAGTTTGTCTTTGTATTTAACAAATCGTTCTTCCAAATAGATCTACGTAAATCTTCTACGTAATCTAAAAAAAGAATAAAGATTGATAATCTATAATAATCTTGAGCAGTTTCAGTTTTAAAATTCGGCCTGTTTTTTTGTCTACTAGTTATTCGGTTTTTTTTATTTCCTGTCCAAACAATTCGTTCATGTTTCTGTTTGCTTCTGTAAAAATATCTGCGAAGCTGGTATTTAAATTATTGTTTAAAATATAAATAGGACCGGCGCGCGTCGTGTCTGGAGGGGGCAATTGCCCCCTTTGCCCTTACTTGGATACGCCACTGCGCCAGGGTTTATTATTAATGACATGTATGTATTTTCCAGAAATTTTCGAGTTCCTCGTATTCGAAGTTCCTCGTTGTTATTTTCTTAGCGCAAAAACGGGTTAATATTTTATAGCTTTTTTGCCCTGAATATTTTGTCGAACCATTTTTGCGCTGATTAATATTCGATTCACTTTTGCCCAAAGTTGTGATGTATATGCTATTTTTGATCTTAGAGAAAATTTAAACCCACTTTTGCTTTGAACAAAATTTTATCCCATTCTTACTTTCGACCTCTCAGTTATTGCTAGGTAGGTTATTTTATTTTATAAAACATTAATTTCAAATTCGGTATAATGGTGCCTCTGATGTGACTTTTTTGAAATGTACCATACATTGCCAGAATACACAAACTTTGGCAGTCATAGGGCCCCGCTAAGTCGAGAATAACCTTTTTATACTCTGTACATATATTTATTAACTAAAGAATATCGACTCCAAATTGCACTCTGTGAATCTCTAATAGTTTTTGAGATAAAAAATAAAACATATATGTGAAATTGACAAAAACATGATTGTGAATAAGCATTGATAAAATCATGAATAAGGTATTTTTAAAGTTGAAACTTGGGTTATAAGTTAAGAAAAGTCGATATACTCTTTTTTTCTCAGGTAAGATTTCGACAGACGATGACAGAAAATAAGCAGATGACGTCCATACCAATCTATTTATTTCACTAAAAAAAGTTTCTAATATTTTTTAAGCTAACTATGGATGGGTTTATATATAAATCCGTCGTGCGTCGTTTCTTGTTGTTTTTAACAAGTTTTATTGGTTTATTTCAAAAATGACAGGTCATATATTTTGAATATTATTTGATTAACACAACGATTAACGATATACGTACGCATATGCGTGTGAACCCGACTTAAGATTTTTGACGATTGTCAAACTCTTGTCAAATTATAGGTTATAATTTTGTGTCAAATTATGTCAAATATCGATTTGCGAATTGCTTTTGCATTTTGGTTCGTGTTATTAGTAGTATGTTTTGTGTTTTTTGAAGTTCAGTGGAGGAAAAATCGAAGGAAACTTAACTGTAGACCCAGAACACAGTTTATAGTTAATATTCGGTGCCCAGACAGAGAGTTTTATATATAAATAAAGTTACCATCAGTAAAGTTTGTATACCATCTTGTATATAGTACTAAAAACCTATAAAATAACATCACACAATAGGTAAATAATAGATTTTAGTACTGCAGAAACAATGTCAAAAGGTACTGGTTTAAAAATTTAAGATTAAAGTTAATTGATCAGCTTTTAAAGTATAAAATTCAGTAAGGGTTATTATGAATAAAATATTTTGTTTTATTTATATGTTGTGTTTTATTTATTACTGTGCAATATTAATGTTTTTTATTTGCATATAAGTTATATTGATAAATATAATAAAAAATGCAGGAAGTTTCTTGAATCTTGAAAGTAAGAAATAGTTCTTTTTATATTTTTTTGGTATATGTTGTTTTGTTTAAAATACATGCTTGTTTGTTTTGCACACATATATTTTGCTTGTACACATACCGTATTTTTTTTTAATTAAATAACTCGATTGGATTTTTTATGTTTTATACAGTTTTTTTCACGATATTTTGAAGTAATCACTTGTCACTCAAATTTTAAATATAGGTATTCAATTGTACCAACTTATTTCTTTGTAAAATAAAATAAACTACTTTGAAATTAAAACGACAGACACATCTATCACTGTCAAGGATTTTGTCTTTGGACAGACTATATATTCGATCTGTCTAAATAAACCGATTGGATATTACACAGGGAGAGCAAAATATTATTTATTTTCGTTTGTTATAAAATTGCTCAAATCTTTGTTATTTTAAATCCAACCCTATGTATATTATTTAAAAAATCAAAAGACTAATAAAATTACTTTCCAACAATATATCATGTTTCTATACCTCAACCTTCCGAATTCTTAAGTACAGCTATTTAAAAATTAATAATTCTATTATTATAGTTTCATTCAAAGTTTCATTTCAAGAATTCGTTCCCCTGACAAATTTAGAAATTTAACACGTATATTTGTCATGGTAACAATAAACGAAATAATTATAATAGAATAAATTATTATCTTTTAAATGGATTTAAAAGATAATATTATTTTTTATTTATTTAATTTATTGAAGAAACCAGAAGGTTTAGGCATAGATATATATTATTTGTGTTTCGATTTTTTAAATAATATACATAAGCTTGAATTTAAAATAACAATAATTTGAACGATTTTATAATAACCGGAAATAATTATTATTTCTGACCTCTCTGTTTGATATCCAATTAGTTGAGTTAGACAGATCAAATATGTCGACTTTCGTTAACCTATAAACCAAATTTTAACTTTCAATATATACCCCACACCTATAAATGTGCACAGCATATTTTTAACGCCAACAAATACTAATGAAGTAATACAAACAATAATATCTTTAAAAAATGGCAAAACCCCTGGAATTGATGGAATCAAAAGCGAAACATTCAAAGAACTAAAAGATTTTATATCACCACCACTTGCCCACATAATTAACACATGTTTTGAAACCGGAACTTTTCCCAAAACTAGAAAAAGAGCAATTATTAAACCTGTATACAAAGCTGGAAATAAGACTTTACCTTCAAACTATAGGCCAATTTCATTACTTAACACTACCAGCAAAATTGTAGAAAAAATAATAAAAAAATAGGCTTTTCAATTTTTTAAAAAAACATAATGTTTTATCTGAAAATCAATTTGGGCTTCAAGATAATCATTCGGCTGAAGATGCCTTGGTCAAACGCACAAGAACTACTGTATGATCGAATAAAAACGGCGTCAACGATGGCTATGAAATGAAGATCGCTGTCATTTTATATGTAAAATGATATGGGAAATGTCATCGATCGTCATTTCCAAGCCAACTAGACGCCGTTTTTTTTCGATCATACGGTATTAATAATTCATTAGATAGTGGAGAAAAAGTATTGTGCGTTTTTGTCGATTTGGTCAACGCATTCGACACGGTGGATCATGGAAAATTAATAGAAATCCTTGAGAATTCTGGTATACGAGGCACAGCTCTCAAACTGTTTAAAAGTTATTTGTGTGACCGCACCCAAAGCATAAAAATTGGTGAAACTACAAGTGCAGAGACTGAGGTTGAATACGGGGTTCCACAGGGGACCGTTTTGGGCCCGATATTGTTTATACTTTATATAAATAATGTGTTCAACATCGCCTCTTCTGGGGAACTAGTATGTTTTGCTGATGATTCTGCAATAATTCAATCTATTCAAATCAAGATTAAAAATATGGCTACTAAATCAGGGAAGAAATAAAATTAATGCCCTTACGAATAAAAAGTATGGATAATTAATATCTACACTTTTTTCTAAAAATAAATTATTTAAGTAAAAAAAGCGATTTAAAAAGTCTTATAATTAAGTGAATAAAACAGAAATAATTATAACCCAATTCAGATCCTATTCCCAAACATGACTTTATTCCTGGCTAGAAATAAAAAACCTTATTTTGGCACAAAAATCCTGATCTAGACACGAAAAAAAAATAACTTTGTCATTTCTTTATCCCCCTTATCTGTTTGTATACTTGTTTATTTTCTTCATTGCTAAATGGAAATAGTTTTCTCACCGACAAGATTTATTTCTTTGGTGAGCAACTTAGTTTATTTATCAAATTAGAAAATCTATAACTAAGGAATTGCTTTATTTATTTTTATTTTATTATTTTTCAAGAACTTTAGTTTTATTTTTTATTTTATTAAAATACTGGATACAGTATTCGTTAAAAATATATTTTGTTATTACTTTTTTTACCTTTAAAAATATATATCGCAGTCGAATCGGTGAGGGATATTTTGACAACTGTTCTCTCAACACATTGACGTAGTCCTACATCGTATGAAATTTGATGAAAGAATAAAAAATTAGAGAGTGGAAATTTTTGACTCGGTTAGTTTATAGACAAATAGATGACAAAATCACAGTCTTGCCATACATATATTTGATATGGCCAAGTGTCTGCCATCCCTTTTACATTTTTCGAGAAAAAACTTATAAATGAATTTGTAGTTATTAAATTTTCTAAAATATTATATACTTAACAGAAATTGTAAAAATTGTGATTTGTTCATAATTTTTGCAAGTTTTATAATATTTCTAATAAAAAAATTGCCGCTTGGCACATCATAAAAAGGAAGTAAATGACAAAGTTGTAGAATACTTAATTATCGTCAATTTTTGTACTGTTCAATTTGCGAAGTTTGAGTCTTTTGTCACAGATTGTCATTAGTTCTTATCCATGTTTATCACATGAAATGGAAATTTTGTGTCAAACACGTAAGTCCATCATATTTCTTACATCGTACGATTATTTTTTTCTTTTTACATACGGATCACCTTCATTACGTATAAAGGATTGTACTTTCTTGTCCAATGTGCACGAATAGAAAAAGGCAAACATCGTATTTGTATTACCCGCCGAAATCGAACAAAACGAATCGCCGACTGTCAAAGTTGTCGTTAAATTTTAACGACTCTGATAGTTTCCCGTAAATTTTTGTGGGATTTTCTATGTTTATTTAGTTATTTATGATTTAATTTGTGTTTAAACTGCCGTCCCGTTTTAGTGAAAAAGAACAACGGCTCATATTAAAAGTTATCGAGTATTTGAAACTCGAAAAAGATGCTGGAAAACCCCTTTTACCTGTGTCGGCTGTTTACGATGTAATTGGACCACTACCGAGTTAATATTTTGTAACTAAATCGAAAATATTCACATGTTTTATAGAGAACATCGGAGGCTTTAGGAATTTCATGCTCTACTATGCAAAGAATAAGTTTCAGAGGAATCGTAAAAGATAAAAAACAAAAAGCAGCAAAACAAGTCACAACATTCGTTTGTTCCGTGGAATTCCTGCTTATAAGATCCATGGACATATTATTAGAGGACGTATTTATTCATTGTATACTGCGGGTAGGCTAAAATAAATTTGTCATTGTTATATATAACAATATTTTGTTATTATATTTGTTATTGTTAGTTTACAACCAGAGATATAAACAACTCATGGAACAAGTCAGGAAATACGTGAAAACCAATATGGCGCCGAAAATGATGACGAAAGTTTCAAACTTCGCAAATTGAACAGTATAAGAAATATTTTTGTTCACGACGGGAAACGCGCTGAACATGTAGTGTAGCGGAAGAAATTTAAAACTCATCACGGACCGTAGTTTTCAGTGTCGTTTCTGTCTCACTACAATGTTTAGCGCTTTCCCGGTCGCGTATTTCTATAATATACCATGTAGAGAGCATAGGGTCTCTAAGCTCCGCCTCCAAGCTTAGTTTAGCATTGAAGATGTCTTTAACGCGGTATAGAATGGAATAGGATAATGCGCTAAATGTGGTATAGTATATAGTCGCTTTCTCAGGGGGGTTACAACGTGATATATGTCACATTCTTAGACACTTTTTGTATTTTGCATTGAATTAGACAGTTTGCGACCGTTGCGAATTGTAAACAAGTATCAGGATGGCTGAGCAATGTACGTTAGAGATTATGTTAACAAATATAAAATCTGAAGTAAAATTGTCGATATAAATAGTAATTCGGCTTCACAAGAGACAACAGCTATTCACCAAAAAACAGTGCTGTGAGTAAATAATATTTGTCGGGCTGGAAGAATTTAAGGAAGACAGTTTTGAAGACCAACATGCTTTATTGAAAACAAATATAGAAAAAAGTACTAAGTACTAGGTTTAACACAAAAATAGAAAAGTAATCAGATGCTAGAAATATTAACACGGTTTAATAATGTCACATCATATTGACACAGTGCAACAGTTAAAAACATTTCTCAAAAATACTACAATAAACTGTAAAAAAAGCAAGTAGTATATTAAAGTACAACCAAGAGCTTTATCCAGAAGAACTTGCTGTTTGCACTCGAAAAAAAGAAGGCTATCAATAAGGCTATCCGAAGAGAACAGACTAAAAAAATAGAGCTTGAGAAAAATATTACCAAAAATACACTAAATACCAAAAGACATTAATATTTAATACTTAAACTAAACAATACAATCTAACAGGAAATAACAATGTTTATTTTTTTTATTTTTTAAGTGGCTGATATTTTAAAGAAATTAATACCGTATGATCGAATAAAAACGGCGTCCAGTTGGCTTGGAAATGACGATCGATGACATTTCCCATATAAATTTACATATAAAATGACAGCGATCTTCATTTCATAGCCATCGCTGACGCCGTTTTTATTCGATCATACGGTATAATATACATTATTTAATAATTAAATGTTATTTTTGTTGATATTTTCTTTGTTTTATATTTTGTAGTCATGTTTTTAATGTAATGATAAAGAATAAATATATACCGCATGATCGAAAAAAACGGCGTCCAGTTGGCTGGGAAATAAAGATTGATGACATTTTTCATTAAATTTATGTATAAAATGACAGCGATCTGCATTTCATAGCCATCGCTGACGCCGTTTTTTACCATACGGTATTATTTTTACTACGAACTATACCCGATATTGGCGCATTTCCCATTTCGTTCTATACCGTGTTAGAGACATCTTTACTGCTAAACTAAGCTTGCGGGCGGGGTTTGGAGACCTTATGCTCTCTACATGGTATATTATGGAAATACGCTTCCCGGTCGGTAAATTTGAATGTGATGAATTGTTAAAAAATCGTTGATAACTAAATAACCAAAAAGAGAGTCCCAGTTATCGTTATTAATATTGTTTGATTAATATGTAAAATATAGTATTTTTTTAGGTGGTAGTGGTGCGTCTAGCCAAGATGCTTCTGTGGTGAATGTAAATACAAAAAATCTTCTGAGAAAAAAACATTATCCTCCGAAATCATACGAACTTAATTCTGGACATACTTTGCCAGTAGAGGTTACACATTATATATGTAACTATGTATTTTATACATAAAATCCCATTTCAGGTTATTTGCGTTGAATCTAAAATAACGGTTATATGGCAAGATGGTACTGAAGAAAAAGATATTCCATCTACTCAGCTATATTATTCAATATCTTTAGATGACCACGAATTTTTTCCTGGCGAGTGGGTTATAAATTACAACAAGATTGATGACAGCGCTTATGGTGTGGTACAGCAAGTCAATTATATAGAACGAACAGCGACAATAAAGGTTTGCTACCTCGTTACCTTTTTTTCTACATATACAGTAATTTACTTTTAGTGGTTTAGATATTTAGAAGATGATAAAAAACCGGAAGCGTTAAGTACTGAAGAGCTAAGTGTTTATGACTTGAAGAAACATTCTAAATTTGGGTTTAGACCGGGAAGTGTAGTAAAATCAAAGCCTACTCAGGAAGGAAAAATGGGCAAAGTCATAGACAGTTGTATTGAGGTAAATCGTAAAAAAAACCTAATGCATATAGGGTGTTCCAGGCTGAGCTTGCATTCGAAATGTGTAGAGAACTAAAATGTCTATATCGGAGCTTTTTTGCATATCATTCTCTCACAGCAAGATCTCTCGAATAAAAATATTTTCAATATGGCAACACTTCGGGAAGTACCGGAAGTTGACAGCAACTTTCTTATTTTAAATTGATACCCTCCTTTATACCTTATATATTTGAATTATCAACGTTTCTTATTTTATTTCTTATTCAATTTTTAGAGCTACAATTTGTCTGTCAAAGAAAAATGATGTAACCTGTACATCATTGTTAGTGATCAGTTCCAATACTGTATCTTAAAGAGAAGACATGAAAATACCTATTCCAAAAATAAAATTTACATATATTTGTATGTCATTGGCTATAGCAGTCTTTGAATCAGACATTCAAAAGGTTATCATAACTCATTTTTTCAAATGAAAATCCACCATTTTTATTTTATTAACGAAAAAGTTGTTTTTAATTTGTTGGTTTTTGATATATCAAAAACCAACAAATTAAAAACAAATTAACAACCTTACAGATTGAAAACCTAAACCTAAAGTACCCCGTTATTAAATTATTAAAGATTCGTTTTAAATTACATGTTTTTCTTGATTTTATCTAGTTACCTGTGACATTAAATGTCAACTAATGCAAAGCAATATATATCCTTCAGTCAAAAAAAATTATCAATTCAGTTTTATATATTTAAAATAATGGAGAATAAAACTTTTTAAATATTTCTGGCATTATTATGATTAATGATGTTCCTATTTACGATTTTTTCAATCATTTAATATAGTTTTATTCAACCAATAGTCTATTTCATACCAATAGTCTGATTTTAACACAGTAGTAATATACCGTATGATCGAATAAAAACGGCGTCAGCGATGGCTATGAAATGAAGATCGCTGTCATTTTATATGTAAAATTATATGGGGAATGTCAACGATGTTCATTTCCAAGCCAACTGGACGCCGTTTTTTTTTCGATCATACGGTATTATAATTTCATAAACACAGATATATAGTGTTTTACATTATTTGACGTTTAAACTCATAGGCTACTAATCAAAAATTAAGAAAAATGTGTTTTAAAACGAAGTACTAAATTACTTGAAAACAGGTTACGTTATCAATATAAACATATATCAGAAAAGATTGTTACGGATTCCGTGGGTCCACTAATAATGAGATAAAAAAGTTGGTTTCTGTTTGGAAAAAATGAGTTATGAGTATGAGAATTTTTTGATGAATAAATTTAATGACATATACAGCCAATGACATGAATTTTGATAAAATGTATTCTTTGTAATATATCATTACATGCCTTTTTTAAGATTTGTACAGGGTGTCCCACTAAGAATAGCTCTCGGCTGTATCTCGGAAAGTATTAGTCGTAGAGCATGCGGAAAAAAATATTTATAACTAAATAGAGCATGAGAAATTGCTGGAAATTATTTTCAAGTTTGTAGAGCCGCCGCTAGAGGGCGCAATTGCTATTAAAATAAGAAAATAGAGTTTTTACACAATTTTGCCTCATTTTCTCCTATCTGCTAAAATAAAGTGGTGGGGGAAGGTTAGATCTGTTTTTATTTAAATGTTAATAACTCTGGACTGGTTGATCGGAATCTAATAAGTGAGGGCTCGTTTAAAAGAGCGTTTCTTACTCTATATTATACCATATAAACAATAAAAATAAGGTTTTGAGCGTAGACGCTAGGGGGCGGTCTTACAATTTAACAAACATTACGCGTTTTTTCGAAAAAGTTAAATGCGATAGTATATGTATTAGTTGATACTAAAGAGTAATAAAAGTTTAAAAATTCAGCGAAAACTGCATCTTGATATCTTTTTTCAAACCAAAGTTATTAGCAAAATTATAATAAATACGAAAAAATAAGCCCTACCGTGTTAAAAAGATTAATTACCTAAGATAAGGTAATTAATCTTTTTAACACGGTATCCCTAGCCCTCTTGATTTATGACCATTCTAATAAAAAATAAGATAGAAAAGATTATTTCATTCAAAAAATCAACAATGTACCAGAATACCATAATACTAGGTGTATTAGTATCTAATAATTAAGATATCAATGAGAATGACTAAGAAACGACGCCTCAGGGAATTCATGGTAGGTTTTGGAAAAAAGTTGCTTTTAAAGAGATAGTATAAACTCAAAATATTATTATATCAACAATTTGATAGTGCCAGCAGCGTTTTTTATATTTTGATTGCTTTTCTAAAAATGCATTTCTTCAAAAGAGAAAAAACGCTGCTGAGACTATCAAAATGTTGATTTAATAGCTTAATTCGGATTTCTCTTATTACCGATTCTGAACCGTCCTTGAAATGTGATGCGTATGCGCAGTAGGAAATATGAAGACATTATTTTATTTCCGCATGCGCTGCAGAGTTCTAGGACGGTTCAGAATCGATAATAACAAGAACCCGAACAAAGCTAATAACTCTTCTAAAGCCTACCATGACTTCACTGAGGCGTCGTTTCTTATTCACTGTCATTGATATCTTAATTATAAAATATTAATACATCTGGTATTATCGTATTCTGGTATATTGTCGATTTTAGAATAAACTAATCGTTTCTATCTTATTTTTTATTAGAATGGTCATAATCAAGAGGACTACTGTAACCGTGTTAAAAAAATAAGGTAATTAAGAGCTTATTTTTTCGTATTTATTATAATTTTGCTAATATCTTCGATTTGAAAGAGGATATCAAGATGCGGTTTTCGCTGACTTTTTAAACTTTTATTACCCTTTACTATCAGCTAAAATTATATATACTATCGCATTTAATTTTTTTGAAAAAACGCGCAATGTTTGTTAAATTGTAATACAGAGCCCCCTAGCGTCTACATTCAACAGCTTATTATTATTGTTTATACGCTATAATATAGAGTAAGAAGCGCTCTTTTAAACGAGCCCCCGTTAGTTAGATTCCGTTCATCCAGTTCGGAGTTATTAATGTTTAAATAAAAACAGATCTAACCTTCCCCCACCACTTTATTTTGGCAGATAGCGGAAAATGGTTCTAACAAAAAATATGCAACATTTACTGAAGATTATGAATCTATTATTTATAGTATCCGTTATCTAGGCAAAATTGTGTAAAAACTCCTTTTTCTTATTTTAATAGCAGTTGCGCCCTCTAGCGGCGGCTCTACAAACTTGAAAATAATTTCCAACAATTTTTCATGCTCTATTTAGTTATAAATATTTTTTTCCGCCAGGTCTACGGCTAATACTTTCCGAGATACAGCCGAGAGCTATTCTTAGTGGGACACCCGATACAGACATTTTTATGATTTTTGAGACACTATTTGTACAGATCACGAACTGAAACGTTTAAACTGTATTACTTTTCTTTGACAGCCAGTTTTTAGCTCCAAAAATTTTAAATATTTTTTTTTTCAAAAAAGGATAATTTTAGATACTGAGGTTTTTATATCAAATTTTATGACATTTTACAGAGAATTTAGATGTGTAAGAAAAGGTAGGGGTATTAATTTTAAATAAGGAAGTTGCTGTCACCTGCCGGTACTTCCGGAAGTGCCGCCATATTGAGAATTTTTTTAATCGAGTAAGTTACACGATCTCACAGTAATATCGATTTCGCAGTTAAACATTGATATGCAAAAAAGCTTCGATTTAGATACTTCTAATGCTCAGTTTGGGACACCCTGTATATTATATATACATGTGTGTACACATCTTTGTACAAGTCTTGTGTCTGACCAGTAACACATTAAAATGTTTGTACATATCACAGAGAAATAATGACTTAAAATTGTACTGAGATATGAAGAAAAGAACTAACCACCAAGCAGTTAAAAACTATTTTTCTAAAAAATTACTTACTTAAAAATTTTAAAAAAATCAAAAATTGAAAATAATTAAATTATTACAAAATATTATCTGACATTTGAAGACAAAGTATGATCCTAATTAAAACTCTGACTTCGTTCTTGCGTTACTGTTATAATATTTTGTAGCGATTGAGGTTTCGTACACTACAAAAAAAATACAAATTAAAAAAGTTATTTTTTATAAACGCCACTGCGTTGATAAAGCGGAGACCAATTTGTCAGTGGTATTTTACTAATAAAACAAATTTGCCTAACGGAAAAAAATACTTAATGTTTCAGGAGGTTTATCTCCTCTCGTCGCCAGAAACAAAAAAAAACAAAAAAAACGTCAACGGTTTATAATAGACTTATGTAAAAAAAACTAAAGTGTTCTTGAATACTTGGATTTAGTGGTGTTTCACATGGAGCAGACTGTCCGCTCGGACCATCGTGTGTATTTTTATAGTGCGACGGAGTACTTTAACCGGTGCTATCAATCTGCGCATGTGAAATATGGTTTTTAATCATATAGCAAGTCCGCGCGCCTCCTTCGAAGCAAGAGCTTGATGGATGGCCGTCGCACGAAATCATCCGGACGGGTCATCCGCACCCATGTGAAAATACTCATATAAACTCATGATATCGTTTCAACCTTTGAATAAGAAGACTAAGGAAGGAGCTTAATGCTATCCATGTATTCATGCATGGTGGGCGGAAAAAGCGCCATAAAAGCTCTCTAGGGTGGGGATCCTTGACAGTTCTGTTTGACGATTCATTTGACACATTTGAATTTGATTTGAAATGTTGTGGATTTGTCAGTCTTTACGGAGCTTATTTTATGTTATTTATTATTTATTCTACTACTGATAGTTGTATAAAGGTAGTAAATCTAGATGGAAATTGTGGCAGCACTTAAATTAACAGTGACACTATCGCGATTTATCGAAAAGACTCTAAAATAGTTGGTTGTGTAGCGTGCGGTAGATCTCGGCAAAAATTGAGTGAAATAATGGAACAACTTTTCGCTAGTAAGTGACTATATAATATACATACGTGTAGTAAACCGATCATTTATGAAATTCACTTAAATTAACTAAATTATATATTTTTCTTGCATTTTAGCTTTTATTTATTACTTGTCAAAGATTAGATGTCAAAGAATTTAGATACGTTAATTTGACTTACCTGCTTCAGTAGCGTATCGGATGTTTGTGGTAATAAATACTTATTATAACTTATCTATTTTTATTAGAATTATATATTTTTATAACAATTTTAATAACTACCAACATTTATTCACAACGTAAAATAAAACAACAAATTATTGAGTCTACCCCACGCCTACCCTACATCATAGTTTTACATTTTTTAAATAAAATTAGAACGACACTGATAAACCGGAATTTAAATCGGCCATATTTGAGGCCCATCGCGGTGTACCTAAGATTTTTGATATGCTTCTTCCTTAGTCTTCTTATTCAAAGGTTTCAACCAACGGACCAGTGTTGCCAACTATCTGAAATAGAATTTCCCACGAAGACACTCAAAGTTTCCCGTTTTTTTTTCTAAAAATTCCCACGAATTACTCAAAATAAATCATAGCGTCGAGTAATTCATAGTCCAGACACAATTTTCGGAGGAGGGGACCTTTCGTTGCTGGGCCCGAATTCTGTAACTTTGACATAAAAACGTTACGCTTTCAAAGCGATAAGCGAAAGTATTCGATGAGTGGAACGCCAAGCAAGATTTTGGTATTCTCGTTGCGAATCGTTTTCTGGATACGCTTTGAGCACATATTTACTGTCCTCCATTCGCGCAGTTGTGCAGCTCTGAACTGTTCAAGAACGCAATACTCTCACTCCATTCAATTGAGTCATAAAGTTCAGAACTGTTCCGCGCCATATGGAGGCACTAGGCTATCGCGCACAGCTCCTTTCAGAACCGTTCTCGAGTAGCCCAGGGCGTAAAGTTCTGGAACTTGAAATTCGTGAAAAGAGGACAGCAATTGACAGCGTCGCAATTTCTCAGGTATCTAATTGTCAAATGTGAATAAAACAATGAAAAATGTCAATGTTACGTGAATTTACCTATTGTTGAGTTATGTCTACCTATTTTCTATGGATGTCATTAATCTTACTATACGAGGGAAATGTTGAAGACGCTTCTCAGCATTTTCGATGTTTTGAACAATATTTATAGCTGCCAAAGAAGAAGTAATTTTTACTAAAGAGCAGGATAACGCACAAAATCACAATTTTTTCGATTTTCACTGACAGTTCGACAAGCAAAACGATCCTTTAAGGTAACCGTTTTCGAATCGCTTAGCGCAATCAGTAAAGACGCTAAGCGCGTCAAATGAGAATACCCAAAACAAGCGCTTAAAATAAAAAGCGCTTAAAATAAAAATAAAGCACTTAGCGTTTTCTAAGTTACAGAATTCGGGCCCTGTTCATTTACGCTTTCATCCGTCGTACTAGACATTATACTGCCTGTGTTAACGACAACCCATTTATTTTCGAAAAATAATGCAACGTTATTAATATTAGTTAATTAGTACATTAAAACGCTTCAACTCAAAAATAAAATAAAACACCACAAATATGTCCCTGCCTAACTGGCTCAAATCCACTAATGAATTGAACGAGAAAGGGAAGAATTCGACAGTTCGACATCCAAAAAATGACGGAAAATACAATTTACCTGTGAATTAAAATAACAGACACGACTGTCACTGTCATGGATTTTCTCGTGGGATAGACTATAGCCATCTAATTGTTCTACGCGCTGCGTATTGCGTCCTGTATGAGAACGGCGGTGTGCGATGCGCGAAATTTTATTTTTATCGAGTTCTTACTCTTAATTTATATCTATTTAATTGCGATAATGCTTTAAGATACCTTACTTTGAAATACCCAAAAGCTATTTTCACAGGAGAAACAAAAACACTTTTTCAAATGAGTTCTATTCCTATTAATTATGGAAAAATTGTCCACGGATAGCGCAATAATCAAAATAATTCGATTTTTTGTCTTGCAATACAATAGACTATGATAGTCTAAGATCCGGCTACATGATTATTATGCTCATGGTATTTTTAATCAAAACCTAATTTTTACGTACTAGGGGTTGCCACGTTTCAAAGCTTTTCCTACGAGCCCGGCAACGCAAAGTCTGACGCACCTGTAGCTCCTATAATAAAAACTTAGGAATTTTGTATAAGTGCCAAACTAAATTATACCGGGTGCGTCTCAAAAGTGGCTCACCCCTATAACTTTTCTTAATTTTTCAGATAAAAAAACGAGATTTGGTATGTTAGTATATGACATAAATTAGGATTGACTGACGTATTCAATTATTGTTCTCGGTCGCTTCCTGTTTCACCGGAAATAACTCAATACTTTAGATTTTTAAATGGCACCCTCGGTAATTTTTACTTTATTTCATAGAAAATGGCATTCTGAATAGAATGCCATATCATATGTCAACTTTTGACATTCTCGCTTAATAAAAATTGTATTTTAAATTTCGATCTAGAATGCCATGGCTAATTTTTAATCAAGAAGCCTTGGAAAAATAGATTTGATCGTCTAATGTTTTTAGTTTCTTATCTTGGCCGGTTAAAAGATGCCCAAATCGTATTTTTAATCATATCTTATTTTTTTCAAATGGAACGAGGGTGGCTCATTAGCATATTTGGATAAAGCATTTTTTACGGATAATTTGGTACCATACACTTGGTATTTCGACTCAAATTGTCGTTATGAACCACATGTGGCAATTTCAAATAAACCATATTCGAAAATGTCAAAAGTTAACATATGATATGTAACAATTGAATACATCAATCAATTCTAATTTATGGCTTACCTTAACATACCAAATCTCGTTTTTTTATCTGAAAAAATAAAAAAGTTAGGTTAGGGGTGAGCCACTTTTGAGAAACGTATTTCAGGAAAATATTTTAACTTCTACAGGGTGGCTCAAAAAAGTGTGAGTGGGTCGGGATGATTTTTTTTTTAAATGAAACACCCTGTATATTATTTCCTTGTTAGATTTCGAGAATTAAAAAATAAACATTTTTTATATTTAAAGTATTTGAAAATCTGTATTTTGTGTCATTATTAAGCCGGGTCTACACCAAAACAAAATTTGTCGGCGACTGCGTCGCCGACTAGTGTTGTCGACAATGTTGCTAGAGATTCAATAAAGTCGAAAGACGTCTCCACCGAATCAGTAACTTTATCGGGTATATTTTGCCATTTGTACTCGTGTAGTTCATTGCATCTCGATAATTTGTGCCCATTTTACAAATCCTGGGACCTATCATTTGGAGCAATGATTCAAAGTCAGCAGAACTCATTCTTAGAAAATTCTTGAAACTACTTCTTATTTCATTGTGGAGCCGATTTAAGTCATCTGTACAAAGATCAGTGAGCAAGTCACTACTACTATATAAATTTCTCTTCCGGAGGCTAGGACGTATCTAAAAACGACGTTGCCGTCTGGCTTGACGACGCTCATTTCGCGAAATAATAAGGAATGCGGCTGAGATTAAAATTACATCCTCGTCGTTCCACATGTTGATAAACACTAAATAGACTTTCGCTCTTTAGTCGAAAAATAAAGTCGATCAACAATATTTCTTTGGTAGGTACAATCTGCATTTCTCAACAATGTTTGTGAAAATAGTAACAAAAGTTGATGACAATGTCGTCGACATATGTTGCTTTGGTGGAGACCCAGCTTTAGTCTGGTATTTATCGAAGAAAGAGCCATATTTAATAGAAACGCGAATATTTGCGAAACCGTTAAATATTTTCAATTACTTTAAGTATTAAAAATGTTCATTTTTTAATTCTCCATCGCAAAGTACTAATATATAGAGTGTTCTATTTAAAAAAAAATAATTCTGATCCACTCACACTTTTTTGAGCCACACTGAAGAAATATTTTCCTGAAATACATCCTAGTATATACTTTAGTTTGGCACTTATACAAAATTCCTAAGTTTTTTTAAATTATGCCCGACGCACTGTTGCCGGGCTCATAGGAGAATCTTTGAAACGTGGAAACCCATAGTTGCGGCAAGTTTTTGATAGGCACCCTCTGAAAAGTATATTTTCCTATTCATTGATATACGTAAAAATTAGGTTTTGATTAAAAATACGATGAGCGTAATAATCATGCAGCCGGATCCTGTACTATGAGGTCTTTGTCGAAATAGGCTATAAATATTACTTTTTCCAAAAATTGAACTTACGAGGTTTTTAAGGTATATATTATAAGTCCGGTTCTACAGCGTGATCCGCCTTCCGGTTCCTTACCGCCATTGCCTTCTAGGTTTTTAAAGTAAGGTATCGTTTTTCATTAAGTCCAATTTACTCAGTTTGCGGAATGCGTATACAATAATGATGTTTTACAAATAATACATAAACTTCCCACATACAGAATTTCTCACGAATATGGTGTTTTGAGTTAAAATATCCCTTTTTCCTCTGGATCTCGAAATTTACCATGAATTGGGAAATTTCCACGAGTTGGCATCACTGTAACGAACGGTCCGCACGGACTGTCCAATCCATGTAAAACAGCACTTATACTATTAACAACTATTAACGTGATATTTTAAATAGTTTTTTCTTTGCTCTTTGTGTTTTTTTTTGTTCTGACGACAGCAGGAGATGTAACTCCTGAAAACTTTTTTGTCCGTTAGGCAAATTTGTTTTATTAGTAAAATACCATTGACAAACTGGTCTCCGTTGGATAGACGCAGTGGTGTTTACAAAGAATAATTTTTACTTTGTGGCTTCTTAGATATTTGTTTTGTTTTAATAGCGACGGAGACCCTAGAGATAGGGTCTCGTAGAGCCTTTTTAAGATATGAAAATATTGTTACTTTTAGTCTGATAACTATCAGTAATTCAACTTTTCGAAACATCGCTACAAAATTTAATAAAGGAAACGCGAAGTCCGAACTCAAGAGTTTTAATGAAATATTTATCTTATGCAGTATTATAGGGATACGTAATTGTTGAGTGGCTTGATAATAAGCAAGAAAATTGTTGGCCACAGGACATTGAATTAATACCGGACACCCCAGATTATGAATATTCTGATTCGGGAGAAAGTTCTGATGAAGAAAAAGTATGTTTATTTTTATCACAAAATATCCCCCTTTAGAACTTCATCTGTCATGTTAAGAAATGAAACTAAATAAAGCGCCTCTCGTGTTTGTTCGCATACTAAAAGTTTCAATTAATGCCTGTATATTAATAATATATTTTTTAAATTTACATTTTTTTAACTGTAAAGTAATATATTACATTTAAATGGAATATATTACATAACAGTTAGGTATGTCAATTACAGGCTTATTTTCTAACAATTTGTTAAAGAAAACGAATTATAAAATCTTCATATCGTCCCATTGCTGCCAAAAGTAACTAACTTACTTTTTATTACTTCCGAGAAAAATGCGTCTAAAGATGAATTGCATTGCATAAAGATGTTATAGTTAGTAACTATTCGGTATTAAAATAAAACATAAATAGCCAGAAATCGTAGTTAATGACATTTGCAATCGATTCTCCGATTCAAAACATAGTTAGTGATTGAATTTGGTTGTTCGGAAAAATGTTAGTTAGTGACTTTTGGCAGCAATAGGACGATATATAAAATGCTAATGTTTATCTGTGTCGTCTCTACTGAAGTAACGACTTGCTCTAGAAAGTTTTTTTTATACTAAAAGATAGCTAATTGGCTCTTCTAAAAACTGTCGTCGCCGGATTTTTTGTTGTTCATTTAATTAAAAAAAAATGAAAAGTATTTTTTTTCCTGATGTCGCGTCGTGGCGGATGCGCCAGGCTTCAACTAGTTTCAGTATATTTATGTATATTTGTCATAGGTATGAAAAAAGTAAAATGTAAAATGAACAAACGCTTACTTACATTGCAATAAAACTGCCACTTTTAGTTTTGCTATCCAAACACAATATTTCTTTTTCACAAATAATAATATCTTACCACACTAAAATCACTGAAACTTCCGCGGCTGACAACGAAAACTGAAAAATATAACAGCACTTTTTGTTTTGAACCTGCATATCAAAATTACGCTGTACTATTGTTATATTTTTGTTTTTGAAATAATATAAACTATAACTGAATTGTCTAATTACTAATTATAACTTCTGAATTTTAATATTTTAACTGTCTCTGACTCACTAACTTTTTGTTATCAAGATGACATTTTACAGCGCTTTCAGATGGGGCGGACCGTCCGTTCTGTTTTTTTAAGATAGCCGTCTGACGAACTCCGTCGGACGGAGCATACGCACCCATGTGAAATTGTTCATATAAACTCATGGTACTTGCTCGAAGTAGCGGACGGTCCGTCGCGGACGCTCCGCTCCATCTGAAAGCGCTGTTAAATGGCAACTGACATATATGTCATAATATTTTAATTTTAAATATGTATGTAATATAATTTAACTTAATATATGCAACTTTATGCTAAGAAAACATTTATACATTCACAGAATACAACAAAATCTAATAATATAGTTTGAAAACAATGAAAATTGAATTAAAATTAAAAAAAGTTAAGCGTGACCCCTTGTGTCAAAATTAGATGATTAAATTTTCGCAATTTTTCCACCATTTGATGACCGGTGGCACCTTTAGTGTTTGTTCACACGGTTCGTCTTTTACTTCCGTTTATAGCTATTAAGGAAAAAGTTCTAAAGGGGAATGTTTTGTGATCTTTATAAAACAATTCGCATTTGACATATTATTAAATAATATTTAAGGTATCCTGGGAAACTGAAAGCGTGGAGTCTTATGCTGGAGGAGATTTATCTAACGAAACAGTATTACAGAATATGGCTGCCAGATTAGATTTTGTACGATCTCGAATAATATATTTAAAAGAAGCTTTTAAAAATCATTCAATTATAGAAAATTTTGCAGTAAGATAGTTGGTCAGAATAAACAGAAATAATTCTAACTTAAATTTGTTAATTTTAGATACTTAAGGACTTACTATTAGTATATGAAAACTCTAGTTATTTAGACAAACTATTAGGAACATCATTTTTCAGTTTGAAGAGCAAACATTTTCAGGTATCTGACATTAAGAACTTCTATAACATAGTTAAGTTTGAATAATAGTTAACTTTACCAGTTTGACGGTTTTAGGCTTTATTAACCCAAGCGAAAGAAAGAGCTAAACAACAAAATATAGAACTTAGGGGCAGATTGTTTTCAAGTGATGAAAAGCGGTTAAGCGGGACGAAAATAAAGGTGGCAGAGTCTGACAACATTAAAAAAATGATTAAGTTGGAGAATAAAATTAATTCAGAAATTGAAAAGAAAGAAGGGAATAAAGAAACGACAGGTAATTGCTTCGGATCAAATTTAATTTTATTATTTCTGCTATATAAAAATTTCTACTAATACTGAAAAAATATTTTAATGTGTAGGAAACACATTCACTTAGCAGTGACACTATTGCAATTTATTGAAAATGGCTGTAAAATAGTTGGCGGTGTAGCGTGCGGTAGATCTCGGTCAAAAATCGAGGGAAATAATGGAATAACTTTTCGCTAGTAAGTGACTACGTGTAGTAGACCGATCATTTATGAAATTCACTTAAGATTAACTAATTATATATTTTTTCTTGTATTTTTGCTTTTACTTACTTGTCAAAAATTTGATGTCAAAGGATTTAGATACGTCAATTTGACTTACTGCTTCAGCAGCGTATCGGATGTTTGTGTTAATAAATAATTATTATAACTTATCTATTTTTATTAGAATTATATTTTTTATAGCAATTTTAGTAACTACCAACATTTATTGACAACGTAAAATAAAACAACAAATTATTGAGTCTACCCTACATTATACAAGGTGTCCCAGAAATAAGTGCAAGTATTTTAACTGGTAGTATAGTTCGACCCCAGAAATACGCCTATTTTTTTGGATTTTTTTTTGGTTTTTAGTTAAAAACATAATTTCTTGATAATATGGCAACATAGGTAGTAGATTAAATTTACAAGAAAAAAAAATCCAGAAAAGATCCAGTGGTTCTCAAAATTTGAGCAAAAAATATTTTTTTTTTGGAAATTTTCAAAGTAAAATAACTCCGTTATTTTGGACTTATTTGAGAAACCATAAAGAGAAAATATGTTTCTTTTATCGATATCTACCACCCCTTAAAATACTTGCACTTATTTCTGGGACACCCTGTATTTTTACACGTTTTGAATAAAATTAGAACGGCACTGATAAACCGGAATTTAAGTCGGCCATTTTAGAGTCCCGTCGCGATCGATCTAAGATTTTTGATATGCTCCTTCCTTAATCTTTTTATTCAAAGATATTGACCAAGCTTTTTGGTTTTAGCTACTACTCCTTTAACTCCAGATAGCGTTGTTGACGTTTCTTATATTTCCCAAGAAAATTTATGTATAGAACTTTTATCTACGTTAAAGGTTAGAATGGATTTAGCATATGCAGAAATCATTAGCAAGATAGGTGGTACACAAGCTTTAAGCGTATTGACCAAGGTAATGATTGTAAAAATTAAGTGGAAGCATACGTATTACGTAAATATTTTACTTAAATATTTTTAGGCAACGGATAATTTTGCTACTCCAGCTAATTCGACACCTTTACCTAGTTGTCCCACTACCCCAGAGGATTCATTTTCAATTCTTAGTCCATTAAAACCAAAAAAATGTTTAACGGTACAAACAGATGATCGGCCCTCCCTAACTGTGCATAAACTCCAAACTGGAGAGAATGAGTGGTATAATGTAATAGATGAAGCCCCATTGACGCATCACTATTATAGCAGTAAATTTGATCCAACCGATTACCAAAAGTACGATTCGTTATCTGATCTGTCCGACAATTAGAATATATGATTTTGACAGACAAAACATTCAAAAAATATCAGAAAAACAATCTATTTAAGAAATAATATGATAGAATACTGTCAGTAATGTCATATATTCATTCGTCAGATGAATACATGCTTAGTTATTAAACTACTTATAACTAGAGGGTTGAGAAGCCAATCAGTGTAAGTCATTCAACAATTGCATCGAGATAATGAGGTTTAAAAACAGTTTTTATAAGTGTTACAACTTTGATTTATATTTTAAAAATTCATTATTTACTATCCTCAAATTGACTCTCATTTTTTTAAATCCTGTTTTTTAAATTTCATTATCTCAGTGCAATTGTTGATTGACTTAGTGATTGGCTTCTGTTTAGAAGAGGGTTTCCTCCAATTATACATACATATTTACATAAAGTAATCGCAAAATAATTTCCGATGCACGTGATCAACTTTGAGTGACAAGAGATGACGACAGCGCTGCCAGATTGTGATGGATTTATGAAATGAATCTTAATGTAAAATTGGGAAACAATATATTTATTATATAATTTTTTAAGATTTTTACGTGTTATTTTTAATTTAATAATTCATATTTTAGTAATTAATTTATTTATTAACAGTAGTCACCAACACTAGTAAAAATATTTCAATTTAAGGCAGCAGCTACTCCCTACAAATCGAAATCACTAGAAATAACTTTGAAAGTGACTGACTGCAGTCAAGGGTAATAAAGTACCTTTATTGTCACGTTCTCGTTCAAAATAGTTTATCAGGAAAGCTACAAGCTTTGCTTCGACTGTTTAAATGCTTCGGCATATTTTCAACACACAATTTCAAGAAATGCAATACAAAAACTCGAAAATTTAGTTTTTAAAACTACTGTTTTTAAAAAAAGACTATGAAAATCGGCAAAAAAACGAGAATTACTTCCAATGATTCATCAACAACATGATATACAAAATAATGACTGACATGATAATTGTCAAACAATAAACGACAACGATGCTGATCGCGGCGCAATGTAACCAACATGCCGATAATAAAAATCGTTTTAAACTAGTTAATTATAATAAAAAACTAGTTATTTAAATAAAAAGTGTGTGTAATTTTTGTAGGTTTAATCTAACATAAGTATATGTTACAATCATTTGCTCTATAAAGTAAAATGAAGATACTGCTTGGTATATTAAATTATTCAACAAATTTAAACATTTTTGCCAAAATTTTATTTAGTCAGGTTTATAGGTTTTAGTGTCAATTTCGATATGATTGATGACGTGCATCGGAAAATGTTATGCGATTACCGTATTATAAAGACCTATATAAAGTCTACTAAAGCTTACGTCATTAACTATTTGTAATATGCAGTACCGCCACATTTTTCAGAAAATATAAATAATGGTAGTAGAGGAAAATCCAACTATGTCAAGTACACATTAGACACTATTAGAGCTTAAAAAGACTAAGGAACGAGCCTAATACTATTTTCCTATAAATTATACTAAATAAACTTTTAGTTAACGTCATTAACCTCGACCGGCACAGCGTTGTCGAGATATTTTCCTTAAATCAAAATACTTATGAAATATGAAACAAAAGTGAATTAATTATAAAATGTAAATATTTATTATTAAACATTATTTCAAAGCTTTATTTTCTTGTATTTAAAAACAATTCAATATTGCTTACTTGCACACGGAAAAAACGATGATTGTACACTCATCATTTAAAACGATAAATGTCTAGAAAAGCGTTTTTTAATACAAATTACGCATGGACTCTTTTTATCGTTTTTCCCATTTTTAAATGCCTATTTCTATGTGACCGCTATCAATATTCCCGTTTATTTAGGTACCAAAAGGGGTAGAGGTTTTTAAGACGGAAAATATTATGCATTAAAACCAAATTCGCAAAAAATGGACTTTCGTCTTTTTTCCCGTGTGCTCTTCATTTATAAATCATCAGAAGAAGAAAAAATAAAATTCGGTACCTACTTACAGCCACTCTAAAGATTAATAATTATGAATATTTGAACACATCAAGAATATTTTCCTTTCTAATAAATATTCTGAGTCAATGACATCTACTAGAATCACTAGAGATGGAGATTTCATTACTTGTTCCCTGTTATCGGTTGTGTCTTCGGTATCTAATGGAATTCTTTCACATTACAGGGGTAATAGATTCCAGTGCTTTCCAGGTTTGCTTCCAGATGCTTGGCAAAAAGTTCTAATAGGGATGCCGATGAGTTCTTAAACACTAACAACGGCTGTTACGCTACTTTGGCATTATAAGCTGGTGTAAAAACAACAATTTTCGACTTCAAGGTCTGCTAGTAAAAAGTTTAACCTTAAAATATCACAATTCACTCAAAATCGTACAAAACTAAACTGTCAAAATAAATCACAATGTCATTAAATAAATAAATGTGTGGCAATTTGACATATTTCACATCAGGGTCCAGTTAATCAGCCCCCCAGCGTCGAATATATCCATGGTTGGCAATAATGAATTTAATTGACATAACTAAAAGTTTATTTGGTATAATTTATACCGGCGTTTTTGAAAAGTGGCTCATCCCTATATAACTTTTTATTTTTTTCTGATAAAAAAACAGATTTGGTATGTTAGTATATGACATAAATTAGGATTGATTGACGTGTTCAATTGTTTTCGGTCACTTCCTGTTTCGCCGGAAATGACTGCAAATTTTGATTTTTAAATGGCACCCCCGGTATTTTTTACTTTATTTGATAGACACTCATATACATAGCATGACATATCATATGTTAACTTTTGACATTTTCGATTAAAAAAGCCGTATTTTAAATTTCAATCTAAAGTGCCATGGGTGTGTTAAAAACTCTAATTTTTAATCATGGACTAAGACATTTGATCTCCTAATGTTTTCCGTGTCTTGTCCTGTTAAAAACTGCCCATAAAGGCCGGTTAAAAGATGAAAAACGAACAGAATCTATAAATGAACTACTTATCTTTTTATTCTTACATATTTGTATTTATTTAACAGATTGTCAAACCATGGTAAGAAACTATGGTTCCCGAAAAATATCGGTAAAGTACGGAACAGTTAAAAAAAGGGATAAAATAATAGAAATGTGAAATATAGACTTTTTTAAAATTTCAATATCTTTATTACAGAATGCTTCTTTCCTGCTTTATTCATCTTTTCGATGGAGTTTAATATTAAAAAATACATTTCAAGACACTTCAGACGGTTTATAAGTTTTTTCTATGATCTGCGACACAAATAAACTAGTGATGGGATCACTCGAGTGAAAAATACTCGATCATCCGAGTATTCATATCCTCGGTATGTCTCGAGTATTTTTGTCGATCCTCCAGGATTACTCGGCACGCAACAAACATCGGTTGTGGAGTACCGTCCTCGCTGCTCGCGACGATACAGGCGATTTTACGATTTATGCTGAAACCTTTTATAGAGGACAGAGGATAACCGTTTAATCGTAATAATAGTCGGTTTTCAGAGTAGTAACCTGCATTTTTGAATAGAAATGCATTACTTTTTTTTTACTATTAATTATAATATTTATTTAAATTATAAAGATTTTTTCTCCATACTTTATATTTTAAGATTTATAGTTTTTTAACCATTGATATAATAATAAAATGTTGTTTTTTCTGTGTAATTCAGAATTGAAACATCGAAAATTCATAATACGTCAGTTTTCGACTTTCAAAATTCTATTTGACAAAACCACAGTTGTTTATTTGGGCTAAGGCTTTGAAAATTTAGCTTTTTTTGCATTTTTAATTTTCAATTTACGTGTTTTCTTGTAAAAAAACTATATTCTTATGAAAGTATAATCGAAATTTAGTGTGATTGAACGTAGATATAAAGTGAATAATTTACGGAATTTGCCAACAAGAACAATAACAATATTGCTTTATATTTTATTTCATTTTTTTCTCAAACAGTTTTTAAAGCGATAGATGACTCGTTGTAAGCCTTAAGCTCGGCCTTAAGTAAAATTTTATTAGTTAATATTTTTCTATTATGAGGATTCACAAGAGAAAGAGGTTGAAAATCCGAAACAATCATCATTAACAATTTTTTTTCGATTATTAGTTAAGCTGTGCCCAAATAATACAGTTGGTAAATTCAATTTTAAAACTGGATATTATGTCGCACAAAAACTTAAATACAATACTACTACAATTTATTAGGTACTGCAGTTTATTTTCTGTGAAAGTACGCTATTAAAAAGTAAAACAAAATATATTTTTTATCTCAATGACCGACCGCCGACAAATAAACAATAAATAAGAGCCCTTTTTAAAAAGCCGCACGTATTTCCTAGAATTAATTGGTTTTATTTAGCCTGAAAGTGTGCTGAAAGGTTGCCAGATTAGCCTCAAAGTCCGAGTTAAGAAACAAGATCAGCACAATTTAAAGCAAAACCTATGAAAATTTTATTTCCCACATGAAATTATACACGAACATATTAAAAATTATTAAAAAAGTGTTTAAAATAATTAGTATTTATTTTTATTACAATATTATTTAAGTCATTCAAGTACATGGCAACAGTGTGTTAAAAACAGCAAGCAAAATCATTCACACCCAGCGGCGAGTATTATTCAGGTTTCGATCGAGATATTATACAGAGAAAATTTTATGACCGAGGATTCCTCGGATGATCATCCGATTACTGGAATCCTCGAGGATCAATACTCAGGATTAATACTCGAGGATCAATACTCGAGGATTGAATTCATCCGATTTTTCCCAACACTAAAATAAACCCAATCAAGGACTACGGACTAACTAGAAAAAAACAGTGTGTTTTGTGATAATAAAAATTTTAGGCAATTTATAGAAACGGAACAGAAAACGATAACCAAGGTAGAACGGAATACAGTCTCTGTTGTTTCAGTGGCTTATCTGTATTTTTGTTATTAATTATTTATATTAATTTACATTTCTCGTAGAAATATATATTTCTTAACAATTTTAATTACTAATATTTGTTGACTGGACGTAAAATAAAACCAAATTGTTGAGTTTACCCAACTTTATACAATTTTAACATGTTTTAAAAAAAATCGAAGGCCACGGATAAACCGGAATTTAAGCTTTATTAAAGTATTTTAAGCTTCCTTCAGAACCTCGCAATTAGTGGAATAAATTAGTGGTTTCAATTACACTTTATGTTTTTTAGTTTACGATCATTTTCACTGTTTAAAAAAACACAATTAAAATTAATATAATATCCTGGCAACAGCTTGCGTTAGTCAGTTGTATCCATAGAGAAAGCCTAACATTTAGTTCAAGTAACATTATTCAAGTAAATTGATTCATGAAAGAACCAATTTACTCGAATAAATGGATTTAAGTTAAAATGACAAAGAGGATATAACAAAAACACAAAAAAAACTATAAGAAACCATCTTTATTGAACTGAATATAGTAGTATATATTAATATAGTAAAATTTATCTAGATCTGTAAGAATTAGGGCAACCTATTTTACAATTAATTAACAATCTCAAAGGAAGGGAAACTATCTTGGTTTATACTATGTAACACGTGTTAACACTTACTATTTGATCCTTCGGAAACAAAAGCATTTGGGCATCATTTTGGTAATGCTTACAGCCAGTAACACAACACTTAACAACCATTGTCTATAGATAAAAAAAATATGAAAAAACACAAGAACAGAGCCGTATACAAATCGAAAACAAATTTAAAACACGATCTACGGATAACGGGCAAAATAAAAATATAAATTGACAACTGTTGATAGGTTAAATTTTACATTTGACGGTAAAAACCAGGTAAAAACAGGTAAAAATTTAAATTTTGTTGCTAATTGCGCCCCCTCGTGTGTCTATTACTGGACTATCGGCTACAACCTGTCACGTCCATAAGAGTTTCCTAGGCATGTTTCTAACTACAATTCCTCTTGACGGGAGATAATAGGCCAAAATAATATTTCTCGTAAAATTTTAAGTAATTAATGGAAAAGTTAAAAGTTTGATAACTTTTTCTACTAATTGAAAATGTCTACCGCTAATGTGACGTTCTGAATGCTTACATTGAAATTAAAGGAACAAATTTCTGCGCTAATTGAAATCACTAATTTATTCCACTAATTGCGAGTGTCTGAATGAAGCTTTAGTGTATGCTTCTTCCTTAGTCTTTTTATTCAATGAGTAGCAATGTAATCAGGGACAAAACAGTAATTAACGACGTAGGCGTAACATTATTTGGTTTTATCCATAGAATAATTTTAGGCTCAAACTTTTTTTTCAGATTTATTAAGGCTGTTATGAGGGAATACAAACTTCTCAAAGAATCTTTACCAGACAACGTTTGGGTACGTTCATATAGCAATAGAATAGATCTCTTAAGTGTTATGATTCAAGGTCCAGCTAAAACACCTTATGAAGATGGGTTGTTCTTGTTTGATGTTCAGTTAGGTGTTGATTACCCTAGATCTCCTCCATTAGTTCACTATATTAGTTATAGTTCGGAAAGGTTGAATCCTAATTTATATGTTGAAGGTATACAATGACATTTTCTCTATATTTTAGATAAAAACATTATTAGTAGAAAATTAAAGCTAATTTCCTTTTGGTTTTGATTTTTTGGTAACATTTATCAATAATGATCAATGAAAAATATTTCTATTTACTAAAGTTAATGTTTTATACTGTTACGTTTTTTCGTCGGTTCCGTGTGGATAGAAAGTCACAATTTATTTAAACACTATTTATTTAACACTAATTAACAAAAATAATAACGATAAAAGACTTATAGAACTATTTACAAACGATTTATAACTAAGAATTTATTTTGAATTTTAGCGCGTCAACTGTATATTTATAACTGTCTGAAGGAATTTGCATAAATCGTTCAGTTAGGAGAGCAGAAGCGTAGTGCGCAAGCGTGGATTTTGAATTATCGATCAGATAACTAGACCAATAAGAGATTAGATACTAGCATTATCTATACAGGGTGAGTCTTAAATAAGTGCAAATATTTTTAGGGTAGTATATTTCGACCCCAGAAACACGATTACTAGTTTTTTCTGCGAAAATTTATATTTGAAACTTTGTTTTTGGAAATATTAGTTTTTAGTTAAAAACATAATTTCTTGATAATATGGCAACATAGGTAATAGATTAAATTTACAAGAAAGATAGCCCGAAAAAGATCCAGTGGTCCTCAAAATTTAAGCAAAATTTTTTTTTTATGGAAATTTTCAAACTAAAATAACTCGGTTATTTTAGATTTATTTAAAAAACGATAAAGAGAATATATGGATCGAGATCTACCAGCCCTGAAAATATTTGTACTTACCCTGTATATATTGTACTCACCCTGTATATATTGTTACGGATTCCGTGGGTCCACTAATTTAAACTCACGATAAAATACTTAACAATTTATTATCTCACTTTATACACACAATAACTAAGTATTTATAAAATTCCTTCACCAAATTGTCCGATTCGTAATAATGTAAAGCGCGGTATATTCAAACTTCAAAAACTGCCAACTGTCAAAGCGCGGGCCTTATATAGCCCCTGGCAAGTGTTTCTGGAACGTTCTAAAGAATTCTGTAATTTTCTTTTACTTTCTGGCGAATTCGCCAGGTTCCTAAATGCACGTTGCGGTTATGTAGCAGTAATGTAGTTCTGCAACCAGTAATACAGTTTAGCGCTACATACACCTTGACATTTTAATAAAAGATTAATTTGAACTACTTTTCTTCATCTAACTGTATACCTTCAAAATTACTAAGTGTTAGATTAAGGTTAGATTTTTGAAATTGGATATTGACCTATACCACTATGACATTTACCGATCTATATTTCATATAAATTAAACTTTTAGTTACGTAATCGAGGGCGCGATTTTTACATTTATTGTTACCAACCATGGACATATTCTGCACCGGTCTGACTAAAATTTAAATTTTGCGCTGGGATTCAGGTGGTAGCTCTGCTGTAAAAAAATGTCAAGTTGCAGCATTTATTTATTTATTTCCTGACATTGTCATTCGTTTTGGCACTTTAGTTTTGTATTACGAATTTTGGTTTAAATCAAAGACATTATAAAGATAGACCGAACATCTCATTCATAAATACTCGTTGGAAGTGTATCAAACATTCCAATGTGTCAAACAAGGACAGCAGAGACAGAGAAGTCTAAAATTTCCGACCCCGGCAACTAGGCGCATTTGGATTGTTCTGATAGGCCATTGGCGTATCGTTTTTGGAAGGAATTTAATTAGTAAAGTAAAAGTAAAGTAATTAGTAGTAACATTTTTACTCCATATTAATATACTACATTAACACTTTTTCGTCAAATGAGTTTTGTTATAAGGTCTAATATAATAATATAATTAATATCCCATATATACTTATGTTGAAACGTTAGTAGGTAGTTTTCGAAAATCGCTCCAACGTCGATTTTCAATTTAAACTTTTCAGTTACTTCTATATAAACTTTCAGTTACTTTTGAATATTTACAGGGTGACTCAAGTTTCTGAAACAGTTCTATATTAGGTTTTGTGGTTGGTGACTTTTCTTTCAATTTTTTTTCAGAATATGGAGGCAATGGTAAAGCACATTTTGGACATTTTTGTAAACATAGGTGGCCGGAACATATTTTCAAACTAAAGTTGTAGATTTGCCATTAAATTTCCACTCCAGAAATACCTAGGGTTGCCACCTGTCCTTTTTGAAAAGGACAGTCCTTTTGGAATAACTTGTCCTTTTGACTTTTTTTGACTTAAAAAGTCATTTTTATTTACGTGTTTTCCCTGAGAAAATTACCTACAGCAAACAGAAATATTCTTTTCGTCCAAATTTAATTAGAGATGTTATAAAACTTATAAATAAATTTTTCTTGTTTAGAATAGGCAACATTATTTAGACCTTCCCGTTTAATCTCAAATGATAGTTTAGGTTTTAGTTTTACCTTTTTTGATCTTAAAAAGAACTTTTCAAAATTAGTAATTAGTAACGATTTAGTTAGTTCGCAATCGATAGCTTCCTGTGAAGTACTGTGTAATAGTTGTTTAATCTTATATTATTAATAACTTCCTATACCTAAAATGAATATTTAATGAGAAAATTGTGTTTTTTTGAAAATATAAGACAAGATTTGACTCTTTCGGTCTTCTTCTTGTATTAGGATGGCTCTGATACTAGGCAATTACCTTTTAGTCTCTCAATAGAAGGCATTTATCATTAAAAGTATCAAATCTGTGTGCTACAGTATGGGATTTCTGTCGCATAATAATGAATATTACATTTATTTACAAACCCATTACTTTTAAAGGTAGCTTCATCAGACAATCAAATTTTAGTTAAATGTCTCAATCTTCATGAACTGTATTAAGCATATATATTGCGGTTTGAATCACCCTGTATGTTGACAAAAATATTTTGAAAATGTGCGTTACAATGGCCCCCATCTTATGAAAAAATTTGAAATAAAAATCACAAACCAAAAACGTAATAGGTAAAAAAGCTTTTTTGGAGGCCTGGGTCACTCTGTATATAGGTATGTATAAAACTAGTAGCCTAAAAATTATTTACAGTTCGTCCCATTCTAAAAAAAAGGTAAATACACCGTACAAATAACTCTAGGAAGAGGTATTTGTACGGTGGTAAAAAATTGTCTAAACAAGGCCGAAGGGAGGCCTTATACAATAAAGCAGTAAAATGTAAAAAAGGTCGGGTAAACACCTTTGTTTATTTGTTGAGCAAAATTCCTTTAGAATATCGTATATAATGACCAAAATATGGTAAGCTAACGTAGTACGTTAAGCTAAACGTAGTACGCTACTATAACGGATCAAGGGCCGTCGCGAGTGTTGGTGGGACGGACGGCTCATTTTCATTCTGGAAGACTAGCAGCTGCGTTGCCAATAGTTCTAGACGTTTCAGCACATTAAACAGTAAACATGTCCTTTAATAGTAAAGTATATATCCTCTGGTTAATAACATATTATTACGCATGCTTCTTTAAAAATAAACTATTAATTTAATTAAGAAATTGAGATTTATTGATATCCGGTGAAGGTTTTAAAGTCACCTTTTCTGCAAATCAAACTAAGTAGATAGGCGCAAATTTGAGATGTGGCAATGTCGCCTTCTCTATCTCAGTTGGTTTTTACAGTACGTAGTCAACCTCCGATTATTTGATCGGGTTAAAATGCACAATGTGATATCTGTTCTTACTAAATCTATGTGTACAAGATAGCTTAATAGCCGTAAAAAACTCGTCGCAACTTTATTAGAATATTTTGAACGAGAAAGCGGTATTAATAACTCTTTATGTCCCTTAAGTGCTGTTAAGAAGGTGAGTTTTGTTGATGTAAATAATAACTGTTTATATGTTTATAATTAATTTGTTGTTGTTTCCTAAAATATTTTTATTAAAAGAAAATATATAAAAGTGGACAACGCTGTGCCGGTCAAGCTTAATCACGTGACTAAAAGTTTATTTGGTATGAACTATATTTTGTCACTCTTCTGATCTCCAAATTACGTTCTTCAGTTCTATCCATTTCAAAATGTTTAACTTGGACACTGGACGAGGGTTCAATAGCTCTACAATGACTTAGAGCCCTTTGTCAATGACTTATTATTGCTTAATACAAAATACAAAGAAACATGGCTATAACAACATCACCATTTGCTATATGAATCCTGTCAAAATTTCAGACCGCTGAACAACATTTTAGATTGTTCTTTTTGTACTGCTTTCCAATTAAACCAAATAAATTTATTTTGATTCTTCTAGTGTACCGTTTCTTATTTATGAAATAATAAGATAAAACCATCTATAGACAAATTAATTTTATTACTATTTATAAGTATTGATTAAGCCCATTCATTTCTTAATTGAAATAAACTTATTATTTTAGGCAAAGTATGTATATCTCTTCTTGGTACATGGGTAGGTAAAGGAACAGAAGTTTGGGGACCCGAGAGTACATTATTGCAATTGATAGTTTCAATTCAAGGCCTTATTCTCGTATCAGAGCCATACTACAATGAAGCTGGTTATGATAAACAAACTGATACGCAACAAGTACATATAAAAACGTTTGTTTGGTGCAAAAAAATGAATTCTTATATTTTAGGGATATGAAAATTCTAGAACTTACAATGAACTTGTGATATTAAAATTAGTACAGAGCATGACAGAACTGCTCTCTAACCCTCCAGATGTATTTAAAACTGAAATTCTGAGACATTTTACACAAAATGGTGAAAAACTGTGTCAACGTTTAGAGAAATATTGTGATAGCTTGGTAAGTACACTAACCAACAAAATAAAACACTAATTCACCACAATACACCAAATTAAAAGTAGTTATTAATTTATTATGAAATTGAGTTATGAATTATATTATGAAATTAATAAATTAAAACTAGTTATTAACTAGTTTTCATTTATTAATTAATTAAAACTAGTTATTAACTAGTTTTAATCATCTGCTAATTGTCTAACATGGTTAGAGAAACGCGCGTCCAGTTCAAAAGTAAAGTGTTTTGGTGTATTGTGGTGAATTAGAGTTTTATTTTGCTGTTGCAGCACCAAAGGTTCCGACCCCCAAATGGAATACACCAAGACAAACATACCGAAGACCTTAAAAATTTTAACTGCTTGGTGTTAGAAGACTTTATTAGTTGAAGACTTGAAGCAAATAATGTTCTAAGTGCCAAAAAATCGGTTTTTCATATTTTATTTGTAAAATGTCCATAACCAACAACATAATAAGAGCTAAGTAATATAAAGTATAAAGAGCTTAAATTGTATTGTTTTTGGTGTTTCAAAAAACATGTGCCATCTCTCGTGGGAAGATTCCTCACGTAAAAATAAGATTTATTTTTCATATGAACATAGGTCCGATTCTGCTTTGTTTAGTAGCTACAATGTGTTAAAGTCTTAATAATTTTTCGTTTTATTATAATTTTCTTCCAAGTACTTTTAGTGATTCGAATGGAATTTTTAGGGTAAAAGTTACTATAAGTGCTACATATTTTAATGCTAAAAAAGTGTTGATACATTCATCAGGGACGTGCATATGAGTTATCACTGCAATATTTTTCAAAAAAAACATGTGCGCCACTAACTTTTTTTCTTTTGATATCAGAATTGTGTAGGCCGTTTAAAGCCAATTAAAAGTTATCTCTCAATATTTTGTCGAATTCGGCCTCCTTGATGAGATAAACGCAATTAATAAAATTAAAATAAAAATTAAATTAATAAATTATATATTTTACCTAATTTATTATTAAATATTATTACTATTAGTTATTATTAGTATTAGTCCAACCTAGAGCAATTTGAAATAAAAAAAAATAATAGTATTTAAGATGATTACAAAAAACCTAATTTTAAAAAGTTTTAACATCCTGTAACTCTAAAACTATGCATTTCCATACTCATGTTTATGGGAACTTTTTTTTCATATTTCTTGATGAGGAAGCAATGAGTAGATACTTATTTAAAACTCTCGCAAGTTAATGATATTCAAATTTTTTAAAGGTTGCTATTAGACTATAAAATTGCGTTTATCTCATCAAGGAGACCGAAATCGACAAAATATGAAGAGACCACTTTTAATCGGCCATTAAACGACTTACACTATTTCGCTAATAAGAGAAAAAAGCCAGCGGCGTACTTGCTTTTTTTTAGAAAAATATTCCAGTAATAACTTATATGCACATCCCTGGTGAATATGTCGATATTTGTTTGGCTTTAAAATATGTCGCATTTATAGTAACTTTTACCCTCAAAATTTCATTCAAAACGCAAAAAGCACTTGGAAGAAAATATAATAAGTCGAAAAAATATTAACACTCTGTAGCTACGAAACAAAGCAGAATCGGACCTATATCGATATGGAAAATTAATCTTATTTTTACGTGAGGAATCTCCCCACGAGAGATGGCACATATTTTTTGAAACACCCTGTATAACAAAAAATGTTGATTATCTCGAAATAATGTTTTTGGCTCTTAAAATATTATTTACTTTCGACAGTGCTCCTATTGGTCGGTTGTAAATACTTTGACACCAATTTTTATCCGATATGTTTAACTAATCGTCACCTCATCCTCACTTTTTTTAAACATTGGTTTTTAAAAACAAGTTTAGTGGGAAGTGGGCAATTTCGGGATATTTGGCGAGGAAGTTATTTTTATAAGTGTTTCTCCAATAATACATGACATGAATAAACATAAGTCTAATTAGGCTTATTTAATTCGGCATATTTTATTACTTCAATATGATAAGAGATTGTTTAAGAATTACCTCGGATTCCTCTAAGAACTCACTTTCTACTTCCTCAGTTTGAGAGTCATTTCCATGTATATTACCTAAATCACTGGTAAATTAGCTAGCTAACTATTAATCTTAAATACAAATTGAAAATGGAATTTATTATGTTTTGTATAACCAAATAATACATAACCATAACCAGGATTGTCTCTGCCATAACCAAAAATTAATAATGATACTGTGGACTGTTGATAGGAATGACAGGTCTAAATGTCAAAACCGTCAAATTTCGGAACGAACTTTCGGATGTATGTGCCAGGCTTTTTTTATTTCACAGGATAACTTCAAATTTCAGATGTCGTACCATCGGATTTCGGATGCATGAGACTCCGGCTTTAAGCTTGATTTTCATGCATCCGTTATCCGACGATACGAGGATACGATATTAATTTTATTGGTTAATTGGTTAACCGTTTCTAACCAATCGAAGTCTTTAAATTCAACCAATAAAATTAATATCGTATCATCGTATCGTCGGATAACGGATCGAAAAAATATTGTCTAGCTAGCTTGATTTTCATGCGTCCGTTATCCGTTGATACGATGGTGCGAAGGTGCTCTGATTGGCTTAACGTTTTCGCGCTACTTGTCATCCGTAAATTTTTTACTCTAGCCCGTCAACGGAAAAAGATCGTACGATAACGGACGTTTTGACACTTTTTTGACAAGTTTAACCTAACCTTAATAAAAATATAATAGTACAAGAGCCAGCAACGTCAGAAAAACGAGAATTTTAAGAAAACTGGTTCTTTAATATATCTTTTGCTATGCTCTCCTGACCAAAGTGCGGGCTGTCTGGCCGCCAGTAGACTACTGCGGTTCACTACTGCGTATCACATCTGTACAGGGTATTCCATTTTCGTGTGTTTTATGGGATTTCTCATTTATGAGTAGAGATACAATGATGCGATTTTCGCATTACTTTGCTACTTTTTTATGACTATACTATTCATATTTGGATTCGGGATATTTTACATAAGCATATCGGCCAGAATTGTGTCAGGGCCGATTTTCTTGCAGCGTTATCAAACTTTTAATTTCTTAATTTTTTTAGGATCCATTAAAACCAGAGTTTCCATTGCTTCCAGTTAGTAAAGGATTAAAACTTTCTTTAGCCACTGCATTAAAATTATTTAGGGATGTATTGATTAAGAAGACGGAGAAGTTAAATACTGAACTGAGCGACGAAAAAATCTGCTCACAATAGCAATGCAAATATTCACACAAACACATATAACAAAGCTGTCAGACGAACTATCGTTACTATGTTGTTGCATTAAGATAAAGACATTCACAATGGACTTTTTATCTGGTACTAAAATATTTGTGATACTATCTTTTCTACAAAATAGTATAGTGTTATATATTATAAAAACGAAAAAAAAAATATTTTTTGTCATTTTCTTTGTTTTGTTTTTGCATTAATAAATGTTAAGCCATTTTGTATTTACTTTTAAATCGTTCATGTTTTTGTAGAAATATTTTTGGTATTATAACTGCTTTTTTAATTTCTAGTTTTGTGAAAAATTAAAAATTTCTTTTTACTTTCTATTATATAAGATGTTGTTACTATTTTTATATTCTGTTGCATGCCAAATAAAGAATAATCCTTTATTTATATTTATTTCGATAGGAGATTTTTATTTAGTTCAAGAGAGTTGAGATTAATATTTATATTTATTCTTGCATGATAATTATTAAGCACATTTCCTATAAAAGAGCGCTCTTTGGATATTTTTTGCATTATAGTTCAATGAGCGGTTTTTGAAGTGATAGTTAAAAGACATTTTTTGCTAGGATATTTAACAAAAATAAACAAAAAGCAATCTATTAAGATATTTTTAGAATTTTCTGCGTAATCTGGTAGCAATTTTATGCTTCATTATAATTCATAATAATCATTTAAGTTAAAAAAATATTATAAATTGTAATGATAATTAAACAAATTAAAACAGTTTTAAGAAAATATTCAGCCGTCCAAGGGATAGTAGATATAACAGATTAGTATTGTGCTTTAAATAGCATATGTACTCAATTATAAGTGCACAAAGAAACATTAGTTTTGAGAAATGATCTTCCTAATTAGAATAAACAACTTGTTATTTAATTAATAAAACGTTATTGTTTATTACCCTTGTTTATAGCTATAACTATTATCAGGGGCGACAGCTTTTATAAAACCTCGTGGGTGCCCATCGAATATGTGTAAATGTAACAAATTTCCAGATAGTTACATTTGTTGTATTTATTATACCTTTTTACATATGTAACATACATAACAAAATTAGGGAAATACCATATCAATTTATGTCATTTTTGCAATTCTTATTGAGGGTAATTTGAGTTATGCAGAAAAAAACTTTTTAGTTCAGATACCAATTTGCGAAAATATTCATTATATCCATTACAATTGTGTAAGGGCAGGCAGTAAAACAGACAGATACTGTATTTTATATAGAGATTCAAAATGAATGAAGATAAAAATTGCTGAGAAGAGCTGCTAGTGGAGGGATATTGAGAAGCTTAGGGTTTCGATCGAAGAATGTATCAATTTTCTGTGATTTCTCTAAGGCTTTCGACTGTGTAAATCATAATATCTTAATTAACAAATTGCAATACTTCGGATTCAGGGGAGTGCCGCTCGAATGGCTTAAGTCAAATCTTGGCAACAGAAGCTGTGAGCAGCTTGTGAGCATTGATACGTCTGTCTTTTTACAAACGATTTATAACTAAGAATTTATTTTTAATTTTCGCGCGTCAACTGCACTGGTATATTTATAACTGCCCTCTCTAGGCCACTGCCGCCGGCTTTTATACCGACAGGTAAAAGAAATCTAGAATAGTCCAAAGATCGTTAGGCGCATAGAGAAGGTTTTCGAATGTTCTCGTATATACGCGTCCATTCTAGTGGGTCTCGATTCTTCTCGAACGAATGAATCATTGCGGTGTCTATGCGATGTTAAGGTCATCCGAGGGCGGGCCATATTGTGAGGTTAGGTCGAGTCCACACCGGCTCGCAACAGTACTATAGAACCTTTTGTACTTAATAACACCACCATTGACGTCGTGGACTCTGTGAAATTCTTAGGACTTATAGACAACTCGTTAAAATGGGACTTTCAGATCGAAGTTCTATCAAAGAAACTAAGCGCTGTCTGTTTTGCGCCAAGATCAACTTATCAACCTCTAGAATAGCCTATTATGCCCTTTTTAAGTCACATCTTGGTTATACCGTTCCATTCTGGGGTACTTGCTGCGCAACAAAATTTGATCGTATTTTCAGACTTCAAAAGAGAGCAGTTCGATATTTATTGGAACTGAACAATAGAACTCACTGCCAGAATTTCTTTTAAAATTTCAAAATACTGATTCTTCCTTCTTTATTCATTTTTGAATCCGTTTGCTTAATCCGCAAGTACATATCTGCTATTCCCGAAAGGCCATCTCATAACTATCCACTTTGGAATACGGAGCACGATCTTTATCTGCCAACCACGAGCTCAGAACTAGTTAAAGGTTCAATACTGTACAATGCCAAAAAAATGTACAATCATCTGCCTTTGAATATCAAGTCGCTTTCATTCTTTCCCGCATTTCGCAAAGCTCTGAAATCATACTTACGGGAGAGAGCTCTATATGCGGTAAACGACTTTTTTTGTTGATGTTTAATCATGAACAATTTTGAATTTTAAAATTTTGATCATCTCACAAGTCGATCATCTCACGATCATCATTTCGATCTCACGTTTTCATTTTTTCATTTCATCTTACATTTCGATCTCACGTCAAAGGTCAAGTATTTAATATTTTATAACTCTTAAAATTATATCTATTTACAATCTTCCTATTGTAAAATTTTATTGATACGCCTTTTTTTGTGTTCTGAAATTGTCCACGTATGTTCTATTTGTAATTTTAATGACTTATTTTTTTTTGAATTGTATGATTTGTATTGTAAGTATATTTTTTTGTGCTTTTGTTTGTTTTGTAAATTCTTTGTCGATGAAGCTATTTTGGCTTTTTGCCACAATAAAGCGTTATTTGTTGTTTGGTGTATCCATCAAAACTAAAAATTCTCAAAAATAAACACAATATAAACATACACAACGAGTCATATAAATGCATCCAAATCACATGGCACATTTTATACAGATTGTTAACTGGACGGTTACTTATTGGGGAACAGAATGGCAACACTGTCTCCATTCCAAATGAGTACTAAGCCAAGCTGCCGACTCGTCCCGTTGCGTCGTCTCTCGACGAGCGGGCCGAGGTTGCCATATTTCAACCATAAAGCTCTTGCCGCGAGTAATAAACAAATTAACAACCTGTATACCGTATGATCGAAAATAAACGGCGTTAAAGACCGCTGGGGAAGGACAATTGATGATAATTATGGCGAGGTCAATCTCGAGGCGTCATTTAAAACATAGAACATAAAACTTAACGCTAGTTATAGAAAAATTAAAAAATGATTGGACGTTTCGAGACACACAAATCTGTTTCCAAAAAAATATATTTTTTTGAATTTACCATTGAACTACACCATTTAAAAACATTTTTACTCAAAACAAAAATAAATTACAACCTTTTTCAGGCCAACGGTCAATCTTCTACGGGCCCAGTAAATAACGTCTAGAGACTGACCTCGCCAAACATCATCGATATCGTTATTCTCTAGCTCGTTAACGCCGTTTTTTTTCGATCGTATGGTACTTAGCCAGCTAAACTGTTAGAAAAGGATTCAGAAACACGTGCGTATGCGTCAGTTGACTGAAAGAATTGGGAAGATACGCAACCTAATGGGCGAATTCATGACAAGGCCGATTTGACTTTCCCTTGCGTCTCAAGTGTTGTATGGTAGAGACACCAATCGTTCTGCGGGCAACGCATAAAACACTTTATTTTCTCTAATTTGACCAATGAATGCGGTTACATCGAAGACAGTGTGGAACTGAAAGCGACAATGTTGCCATATTAAAATGTTTAATATCTGTAATAAGTTTGACGAAAATATCTTTGGATGAAAAATCCGCGTTTATGTATTGGAAATTTATTTATGTTAAACAGAATAAACAATAAAAATAAACATTCTTTTATATGCACTGAATATGTCGTATGATCGGAAAAAGCCGTTGAAAGCCGTGTTTGGAAATGACGATTTATTATAATATTCTGCATATGAAATAACAGCGATCTTCATGTTCAAGCTAACTCTGACGCCTTTCTTTGTTTAATTATATAATATACACACCAGAAAAATCTAGGGATATTTTATTAAAATTAAAAATAAATGTTTTGAATGAACAACCGCATATTTCTAGGCCGATTCTTTCTACTTCGATTGAAACGAAGTAGACTGTAACACTTGTTATTTCTAAATTTCGCATATTTGCAGAAGTTTTTGTGCATTTGTTGTCAAATGCACAAAAAGCACCTAGCATCAATTGTTCGAATTTAACCTGTACTAGCTATGTTTTTATGATAACTGATCAGAATTCATTCAAATAACTTTGTATAGTATTAAACAACGTTATGGAGCGTATACATCTTAACAGAAACCAAATGGTAAGGGCCGTGGGTATGCTCGAAGCTAGAATGCGCGAAATCGACGTAGCTAGAGTATTAAATACAACGCAAAGTGTAATATCGCGATTAAGTGCACGCTACCGTAAAAGTGGTAATTTTGCTGAAAGGCACACAGAGCGACATCGCATTACTACCCCTCAGCAAGATCATTTTTTATGGTGCAAGTATACACTCGGCGAGGTGACCCGAGACCGAGACGAGGCGAGTGTGGAGATACCAAGTACACGCTCGCCGAGGGGACCCGAGACGAGACAAGGCGAGTGTGTACTTGGAGCTCTCGTCTTGCCTCGGTGCCTCTCGCCTCGTCTTGGGAGCGCTCGGTCTAGAGGCGGTCTCCAACACGAGTCAAAGGAGACGAGAGCCACAGAGAAACTAAATAAAAGAGAGACACAATAGATTCTATATTTCTCTATGGCGAAAGCGTTAAGTAGGAAGTCTGACGCCTATTTTCGGTATTTAAATTATTAAAATATAAATATATAATTAATACAGTGGATAAACGACTGTAGTCAAAGTACCGAAAAATCTGTTAAGAGAACTATAAAAAATATTCCTTAATGGTCAATTTCCGGGCGGTTTAAGAAAAAAAAACACGTCTATTAAAAGCTATGCACGAAGTTTTCATTCAGTTTGATGGAAAGTCCTCAAATTCGAATATATGACTGCCAACCTAATATAAACATTCATTAGTTTCTATAAGTATCTACGTTTATTTTAATAATTGAGAAGCGATCAAACAAAACGAAATAAATCCATTTTGAGATATTAGCAAAAAACGTGTCTTTATTGGTATAAACATATCGTTATTGCGTTCTTTAAACAAAGAAACTTATAATGTACGTGAAAAATATTATGATACAGGCTTTCTATACACTGTTTTCGCTTTTTTGTCATCATTAACATAAGAATTATTAATCTAATTAAAAATTATTGATAACAACTTTTTATCCTCAGTTAAACATTTTTTTATAATCTAAAATAGTTTGTTTTAATATTACCTAAACTAGCAAATATTTTACGTTTTTATGCAGGATTATGTTTTTTTAAATTTTAAAGATCGCGCGCACTATACCTACACGGACCGGCACGGACCAGACCAGTAAAATCTACCGGTGAAGGTGACCGCGTTATTTAATAGAGTAGAGCACACTAGACCAGTACCAGTACGTACCGCCACAAGCCACGACCGTCAAAACAGGTCGTGTCGGTCAGGGACAAATATGACCGACAATTTTTATGCCTGGTCGTGCTGGTCCGACCTAATGTGCGCACCGGCGAACCAGCACACCTCCACAAACATGCAAATATTGAAGGGTTCGTCAGTATTTCGAGTACGCTAGCTGGCTCAAGTAGCATGATGTAGGTTAGATTTCATTTATTTTTGTTTGAACCTTTAAATCGTTTTAAATATGAATGATACGAGCCAAGCATTTTATATATAGAGACCAAGAAAGAAAAGATGCAATATGGGAGTCGATAGCAAAAAATAATAATCAAATTTGATTTGTGACATTCGAAAATATTGGAAAAACTTTTCTTCGAATCTTTTTAATTCAGGAAACAAATGATGAAATTACACGCACACTTTGCTTCCTCTTTTGATTTATAGGGTGAACCCAAAATCTTCTTTTTTTCTTAGCTTCCTTCTCTTCCTCCTCTTCTTCACACAACAGGGCTAAAATAATAATTTCTTCCTCTGAACTACTCATTTTCAATACTTCTATGTTGCACGCTCTAGTAGTTGAGCCTTGACAACTGTACTTTTTTCGAAACTCTCGCTTATGTTGCTGGTCTGTGGCGGTAAAGTGTGCGACGTCATGCAGGATGCAGGTTTGTGCTGTGCTGGTCCGTACTGGTCCGTGTAGGTATAGTGTGCGCGATCTTTTAATACACCTCACCTCGGCAACATAAAGTCGAAAATACAGTTTGTTTCGATCCTTGGCAGTTACGTCATCATTTTCGACGGTATATTGGTTTTCATGATTTTTTCATGACAAACACGGACAATAGAATGATAATCTGTGACGTAAAAGCCAAGTATCAAAAAACAAAGCGTATATGAGTATGCTTCTATAAAATACCAAAAATACAATGAAAACAAAAATAACCACAGGCGGATTTTTCTTTTTCTGTTTGAAACTAATATATTCAATTTGATTTTGTGGATTTCACTGGTTTTCTTTATTTTCTCGACTTTCAGGACGGTTTTAAATTGGATTTAAGAAAAAATTTTGCCCAAATTTTCCCAAAAGTGTTACTAAATTTATCTCGTTGAGCGCCTGATTGTTTTTATTTTTACAAAATTATTCTTCAGAATATATTTATTTATGTACTGCAAAATTTTATTGGTGTGTTTTTGCGCTATGTCTCGGGGCGCCTCGCTGGACCTAGCATTTTTTGAGACGCCTCGGGTCCCCTCGGCGAGTGTGTACTTCCAGCATTACAATTAAATGCTCGACGCCGCCCGACTCTTACAGCACCAGAGCTTAGTTTAATTCCCCAGGAAACACATAATGTAACCATTAGTCTTGACACTGTTCGCAATAGATTAAGAGAGGTCAACTTAAGAGCAGACTCCCCTGGAGAGCTCAACCCTTAACGAGAGGAAATCGAGAGGTACGATATTGGTTGAATGAACAATGGGCCAATGTTCTCTACACGAATGAGTCACGCTTTGGAATCCATCCGGATTCGAAAAGGCTTAGGGTATGGACAGAATCAGGAAACCTTATTCGGTTGCATCATGTTCAGGAAGTGCACCCTTATCAAGGTGGAACAATTATGGTCTGGGGATGTGTCCAGTTAGGCCGAAAACCCGATCTCGTTTTTCGTGAAAGGTTCCTAACAGGAATCACATACCGTGATTTAATTCTTGAGTCTGTCGTGTTACCATATGCATAACAATGCACGGCCTCATAAAGCCAGAATGGTAAGTGAGTTTATCAATGCTCATCAATTAAACATCTTACCCTGGCCGGCACAATCTCCTGACGTCAACCCCATCGAGCACGTATGGGACGCGGTCCAAAGAAGAATTTTGAGTATGGGTATGCCTTGTGAAAGTCGTAGGGAGCTGGTTCGGGCTGTGAATGCAGCGTGGTAGGTTATACCTCAAGAAGAAATCGACAACCTGATTAGGAGCATGGAGACGATGTAGGACTGTAATGAACAGTAGAGGAGGCGATACCTTTTATTAACTAAAAATGGTTTTATATTTTTTTTAATTCACAATTTAGAATAAAAAAAAATTGTGTTGAGTTCAATAAAAATCAAGGTAAATTTGAAAATTTCGGTAAATTTCGCATTTTTTTTTAGAACAAATCTTTATTAAACCAACAAACTATTACAGTTTACAAATTTTTTTTATTATTTTATAGTTTATTATTTTATTTTTATTTGCCAAAACTTCCTCTAAACCATTATTTGTTTATTTTAATTTTATTATATCAGAAATCCAAAGAATAAAATTACTGACGATGGCTGGATAAAATTGTAATATCCCTAGACTTTTCCGGTGTGTTTATATTAAATTTTTTAATGATAGAAAATCCGTATTATTAACGTACTGTACCTAAAATCCGCAAATCTACGGATTAATTGGTAATTCTTATCCGCTGCGCTGTAAACGATTAGCAGCGCGCAGCGGCACAGTGCTAAACTAAATCTCGCCAGCTACATCTCGAACAGGTTTTGTGCCACGAAATCGCCCATAAGGTTGCACATCTTATTTGCTCAATAACCGATGCGTCATAGTAGTGGCGGATTTTTCGTTTGGAATAATGTATGAGATCAAGACTTTGAGTCTTTTTTTCTTTTTAATTTAAAAATCAGGCCTCTTTGTATTTGGTGTTCCTAAAGTAGTTTACAATTTGCTTCCAATTTAGAATAATTGGTTTAACTACCTAAGAATGGAGGAAACTTACTTAAAACTATTGAAATTGATTTGTTCGAAAAACTACCACTGTTGCAGACGATGAAAGATGTAACCGACAACCGCGACGAAGCAAAAATCTAATAAATAAAATTATTAAAATGTATATATTACACAGTAGTATATAAAAAGTAAAGTATTTTAAGTTAACGTCTCTTTTACGCTCTCAAGGCTAATCTGGACGGGGCCTAATTGGTTTACGTGAAATCCAAACCGGTCCTCGGCCATCATTGACAATTTTAGGCAAAACGCGTCTACTTGTCTAGAAACGGAGCGCCACCGTCCGGTTCCATTTTTATAAAATCTTAATCTCTAATTTCACTTATTTCCTTCTTATCACTTCCTTATTTACAAATAAATCTTCGGTATTTCTGGAAACAATAAAACATTTAAACACAATATGTATCTACAATAAGATAAAAAAAAACGGCGTCAGAGATGGCTATGAAATGAGATCGCTGTCATTTCTTATATGTAAAATTATATGCGGAGCGTCATCGATCGTCATTTTTCAGCCAACTGGACGCCGTTTTTTTTTCGATCAAACGGTACTAGTAAAAATATATTTAAAAAACATACTTACAGTCATCGTGCATGTCATTATCCAAAACCGGACCGACATTATCAGGTTCTATTTTAAAAAAAATCTTCCGTTTTTACTTCATTAGTCGCAGGTAGACATTCAGCATTTCTAAAATGAATAAATTACATTATTACATTTCATTAGTAAAAATACACTTTAAAATATACCTAAAGTCATCTGTAAGCGGAGCGTGATCATCAATTTCTATTTTTAAAGAATCTAATATCACTTCATCAGTTGAAGAGATACAATTAGCATTTCTGGAAACAATAAAAAATTAAAATGGCGAGTTCCAATGACAACATTTCTGTTAAAAAGTAAAGCGTTTTGGTGTATTGTGCTGAATTAGTGTTTTATTTTGCTGTTGTAGCATCAAAGATTCTAACCCCCAACTGTAATAATTTAGAACTGTCTTGATATTTTTTCTATTAGGTTTAGCAATTGATTTAATTATAGGGGCATTATATTCATCAGATCAGGCTGATTTAGTGATGTGTTGCTATTTGAGTAACGCGATTTTGGAACGGTATTTTCCTGTAACGTCGAGTCGCACTCCGCAACGATTCAGGGCCCTGTTACTGAAGAATGGCGATCATATTATTTATAATTTGCAAATAAATTATTTATAAACGCTCTTAAGGTTGGCTCGAACCGCAGTAACCGCACAGCGACGCGTTTCGCTCCAGACGTCGCGCTCCTAGGGTCGCGATTTCGTCGGTTGCGAACAGTAGTAACTGGTAACTACGTAGCGACGTACAACCTCGACCGCACCGTGTTTTTCTTCAGCTGCCGCGCTCCTGGAGTCGCGTTTTCATATATCGCGTACAGATGTAACTGGTAACGACCCTAACCTAACCTAATCGCGACGGGTTTCGCTCCAGTTAACTGCTGGAGCGCTCCTGGGGTCCAGTGTTCGTCTGTCGCGTCTTGGTCGGTCGCTATAGGCGTTGATGCTCCCCTTACAGTCGTTACGTTACTTTCGAGATCGTAATTTTCCGTAGGTCTAGGTATTAGGCATTTTTGATTGATAATAAATAAATGTTAGATACATTAGATAGTTCCAAATAAACATTTTTACAAAAATAAGAAAAAAATAAAGAAGAAATATGAAGAACAGTGAAGAGATATGACGAAAAGAATATGAAAAAAAAGGAAATTTGTAAAGTTCAATTGATTAAAAATATAATCCCAATTAGAGTTATACAGGGTGACTCTTAAATACGTGCAAATAATTTTAGGGGTAGTATATTTCGAATAATGCCATTTTGGCCTTCGATTAACATCCGTCAAGAGAAATTGTGGTTAGAAATTAAAAGTTTATTGTTTGAAAAGCTAATTATTAGGCTTTCTCTATCGATACAACTGAATACCGCAAGCTGTTGCTAGGATATTCTATTAATTTTAATTGTATTTTTTTAGATATGAATGATCGTAAACTCTTAAGCTTCATTCAGAACCTCCCAATTAGTGGAATAAATTAGTGGTTTCAATTACACTTTATACTTTTTAGTTTACGATCATTCACAATGTCTAAAAAACACAATTAAAATTAATGAAATATCCTAGCAACAGCTTGTGGTAGTCTATTGTATCCATAGAGAAAGCATAATATTTAGCTTATAAAACAATAAAGTTTTGATTTCTAACCAAAATTTGTCTTGACGGGTGATAAAGGCCAAAATGACACATTCCTGGCAAATTTTGAAGTATCATTAGTGAAAAAGTCAAAAGTTTGTTAACTCCATTCCAAACTTTCCAATAATTGAAAATTACTACCACTAATTATGACGTTCTGAATGCTTACATTAAAATTAGGTGAACAAACTTCTACGGCTAATTGAAACTATGTACTAATTTATTCCACCGATTTCGAGGTTCTGAATGAAGCTTTAAGCTTTATTCAGAACCACGCAATTAGTGGAATAAACTAGTGGTTCCAATTATACTTTATAGTGAAAGCTTCATTCAGAAGCTCGCAATGAGGAAGACGCATATATTTTATTTTTCGCCAGAAACTGTTCAATTTATTAGAATAAATATGTGTAAATGCAAAAAAAACTTTTTTCTTGAAAGCAGTACCACATTTTTATAAAACGGGCCATTAAAATACTATGGATAACGCAAACGACGCCTCGCGAATTGAAACGATATTCTATTGGTCTGACGTCACCCGCCGTTCTCGTCGACGCGCGATGGCCAGCAGCAGCCAGACGTGTTCCGTTTATGTACATATTTAGGTGGCGTACTAAGACATTTTTGTTGCTTTTAGCGTTGATTGAAGGAGTTTATTAAAAACATGCATTTTCCTCATCAGTGAAATAAATTAGTGATTTCAGTTAGCGTAAAAGTTTGTTCCTTTAATTTCAATATAAGCATTCAGAACGTCAAAATTAGTGGTAGATATTTTCAATTAGTAGAAAAAGGTTATCAAACATTTAACTTCTTAATTATACTTCAAAATTTGCGAGAAATGTCATTTTGGCCTTTGATTATCTTCCGTCAAGAGAAATTATGGTTAGAAATCAAAAGTTGATTGTTTTTATAAGCTTAATATTACGCTTTCTCTATGGATACAACTGAATACCACAAGCTGTTGCTAGGACATTCTATTAATTTTAATTGTATTTTTTTAGATATATGTGTGTACTTATACTCTTAAGCTTCATTCAGAACCTCGCAATTACTGGAATTAATTAGTGGTTTCAATTATACCCCATACTTTTTAGTTTACGATCATTCACAATGTTTAAAAAACACAATTAAAAATAATAGAATGTCCTAGCAACAGCTTGCGTTAGTCAGTTGTATCCATAGAGAAAGCCTAATATTTAGCTTATAAAACAATCAACTTTTGATTTCTAACCATAATTTCTCTTGACGTAAGATACTCGTAATCAAAGGCCAAAATTACATTTCTCGCAAATTTTGAAGTATAATTAGTGGAAAAGTTAAATGTTTGGTAACTTTTTCTACTAACTGAAAATGTCTACCACTAATTTTGACATTCAGAATGCTTACATTGAAATTAGGAACAAACTTCTACGCTAATTGAAACCACTAATTTATTTTACTAATTGCGAGCCTCTGAATGAAGCTTTAAGTATAAAGTATAATTGAAACCACTAATTTATTTCACTAATTTCGAGGTACTGAAGTTTAAGGTTAAGAATGAAAAATATGGAGAACATTATTACAAAAAAGGTATTAAATTCATCATTATCAATATTTCTTATAATAATAATTAATTTACCTGGAATCAACATGAACACGCTTGAGGTGGCGTTGTAAGCTGCTGTTTGTCGTATATTTACTTTTACAGTGCGTACAAGCAAACAACTGTCGCTCTTCCGGTGCCCAGTGAATTTGCTTGTGTTGTCTAAAGTGTGCCTTTCGTTGCGTTTTGTAGTTACATGTGGCACATCTATAGACTATATTCCTAGAAAATATAATACAAACCTTAATAAAAACTTGTTAGTTAATATAATGGGTTAGCTTCTTTGTTGTAGCAAAATCAGTCTATTTTTGTATCTATTTTGATTGAAATGTAATTTTTACTGTGCATAATCCATTCGTAGGTGGTGGTTCGATACTAACTCTAATTTTGTCCTGTACTATTTATTTTCACTATACATTTTTGTATTTATTTATTCATGCCAGTAAAAAACTTACGTAAGTCGGAACGTAGGTAGTTCCTAAGGACACCAGAGGCGCTAAAGCTGCATAAATCATGATGCGCATGCGTAATAATACCACAACATTTTATCAATTGGCGATTGGCGTCACCTGGAAGTTCGCCATTGGCACCCGTTGGTTCGTTCTTGTGCTTTTGACTATGGAGGGTAGAGGTAAGGAGAAACAACTCTTATGGGACTTTTATTGAAAAAGTGGTTACAAAATGGGAAGAATAAGGGTTCACCAAATAACCACAGTGGCGCTAAAAACGCGTAAATCTAAAAAATTAAAAGTAACCACAGATAAGAGAATAAAAATCACATAACCAAACATTACACCAAAAAAGCTTTGTTTTTATTTTTTAGAATATAAAATAATTATTTTTTATCCATATTTTGTGCTTTATTTATTATTTAACAATGGTTAAAGTACGGTGTACGGTTTTATGTACGGTGGTTAAAGTGTGTGTGGTGCCTACAGTATGTAAAGTACGTATAATTCAGTATTATTTGTATTACATATATGTAAAAAATAGAGTAAATCAAAAGTGTAGTAAAGATTTTTCGTAAGATTATTGACATACATGTTACAAAGTATATTTTTACAACCTAAATAAAATTTATTTTTAATGATTTTAAAGTTTGACAGGCATGCACAAGTTGTTGGCATTTTTTTAAACAAGTAAAAGTAGGAAATACATTAAAAATTGTACTTTCAAGAAATATATTTAACTATAAGTGATATATTTTAATAATCATTTTAATCAAAATCATCGGGATAAAATTAAGTATTGATTTTCAGACAAGAATTAGATTACAGCGATGGTCAAAACCATTAGATATTGCTTTGAAATCTACAGATAAGGTTCATTTTAAAGAACAACAACAACAACAAAAACATAAATATCAACATTTTGTAGAGCAACAAAAGAATAAAAGACCAAAACATGAACACCAGCAACTAAAACAGGAACCATTAACATTAAATGAATATTAGACGCGTAAGTACAATTTGATCGAAAAAAACGGCGTCAGCGATGCCTATGAAATGAAGATCGCTGTCATTTTATATGTAAAATGATATAGAGAATGTCATCGATGTTCATTTCCAAGCCAACTGGACGCCGTTTTTTTTGATCATACGGCATTATTATACACATAAAGAGTAATATTACACACATAAAGATGCCTTGATAAAGATCAACATTTTGTAGAGCAATAACAGCATGAAATAATGGAAATAATGGACCCTGTTGCTCAAATCAAAAACAAAATATCAGCATTACCACTTTATTGGTTATATCAATAAACATAAAGAAATTGAGTTTATAAGTCTAGATCCTACAAGCAAGCAGATCTTAAATCACATAATTTTAAATGAAGATTTATCTATTATAGTATGTATAAATACTTTGCATATTTTATTCAATGTTGTAATGAATTAACAAATTGCAGGTAATTTATTCTAATAACGAAAAAAAAAACTTTGGATCAAAAAATACTTTCTTCTGATGAGGTTTATGAATATTAAAGTCTGTTGAAGTTTGGCCATTATGTGTTGGTATACAATTTATTTATGATGTTACAGTAGTTAAACAATCCGAGTACGAAACATGTTTAAAATCCACTATTCTTAATGAATGGCAACTACCAACTTGAGAGGAAGCTAAGAGCAAGGTTCTATTGGGTTGACTACAAGGAAAACATGAGGATCTGAAAGGGCTACAAAATTACGTCCCAAGCCATGGGACAATAGGAAACAAAATTCAAAGGAAAAAATTACAATACGTGGGATGCAAATTATACTGCAAAGAATTGAGCAAAAGAATTATTAAAAGTAGTTGAAAGTAGTTAAATGTTACGATAGTTAAACCATCTGACTACCAAACATATTTAAAATCCACTATTCTGAAAGAATGGCAACTACCAACTTGAGAGGAAGCTGCGAGAATGATTCTATTGTGTGAACTACAAGGAAGACATGAGAATCTGAAAGGGCTATAAAATTATTTTTATTCCACGTCCCATGTTGGAATAGCTGGGAGTGAAAAAGAAGATAATATTGCACACGATTCTTGTCTAGAAGTAGTTGATGTTAAGGTAGTTAAGCCATCCGACTATCGAACATTTAAAATCCACTATTCTGAATGAATGGCAACTACGATGGCAAAACGTAAATAAATACTTGTACAGTATAAAATTACATTTTATTGGCTTAATTTGGTATACTAAATAAAATGTGTTACGTTATTTTCGACCTGCATTATATTTATTTAAATCCCATATCATCAATTAATTACTTTAAAGTTTTCCCAATTATAATTAACATTAATTTTAAACTAAAGTTTTTTCATCTTGAATGAGATTTACGAAGTAACTTATGAGAAACAATAAAAAAGAGGCCCAGTCTATTGCTTCTGAATAATCGATAATAAAACCATATATTGACTTAATTTTTATACTAAATAAATGTATAAGTTATTTTAAAGCTGCATTATATTTATTTAAAACCCATCACCAATTATTATTTTAAATAAAATTTCCTTAATTAACATTAATTTTAAGCTAAAACGATCACAATATTTTTTCGTCGTCTTGAATGATATTTACGTAATAACTTATGAGACAATAAGAAAATGGCCTAGTCTATTGCTGCTGAATAAAAATCAAATAATTAGTTTTTCATGTGACATGAAAATAAAATTTGTATTTTTTTGAAACCCGCGGCTTCACACATATGCTTCAGGTCAAATATTTATGTCTTTTGAATCATCTGTTCTAAAAATGTTCGGCGCATGTCTTTGCTACAGCAGCGCCATCTTAAGTCTTCCCTTTTTTGACCATTTTTTAATGCACGGAGTTGTTTCTCCTTACCTCTACACTCCATAGTTCCGAGTTATTTATATTCCGGGACTAGACTGTTATTCTCATTTTGTGTTTTTTATTTCGCATTTGTAAACTTTTTAACGATGATGGTTAACTGTTGTGTTCCTAGTTATTGTCAAGAATTACAATAAAGATGCTCAAATGCAGTTTTTCCTAAAGATCAGTCGTTTTTTTAATTGTATGATCCTGAGTGTCTGAAATTAGTGATGCTAGTATTTAAGGATCTTGAACAAATTGCATTACAAATATAATTATCTAAAATGTTTCCCTATGTAAACGTTTTTATATCCGTTACAGTTTTTGAGACACTAATACTGCCATCTACATACAGTTTCAGACACATTATAAAAATAAATAAGAATTAAAAAAGTAACTAAAATGGTTTAAGTTCCCGCTTGTTTTTTAATACTTCGTTCCTAAGGACAGCAGACGGCAGCATTAAACTTTTTTACCGCCCGATACCCCTGACCTCTCTAGCCTCTAGTATGGTATAACTATATTTTTCTTATTTCTGGTATCGTATGTATGCAGATCTTAATGGGATTCGAACTGTGCCCTATTCTTTAGATGCATTATGTTTTCACGTATAAGCTGAGAGGTTAATGTCAGAATTTTCAGATCAACAAATGCCTGCCTGCAGTCATCCTGATATCCGAGACCAACCTGCACTCTAACTGCTTTCCTCTGCAAAGAGAACAGCTGAACAGTTTCGGCAGAATGATCCCAGGCAAGCAAAGCGTAAGCTTCGCGGGCCCCTCGCCTTTGGACCTACTTGTACAATAGTTCACTATTATTCTTAAATACACCGAAAAAATAAATTGTAATAAACCCCACGATTGTAGAAAACACTGCTACATTTTGCGTCTAAAATGGTACGAGGCATAACGTCGTAGTCTTTATTTCTATCACAAGATCTCCAAAATAGTTAAATATGCTTGATTTTATACGAAAGTAGCCCACAAGTTTGGTGGTAATTCCTTTGAATAAGAAGACTAAGGAAGGAGCATAATGCTATCCATGTATTCATGCATGGTGGGCGGAAAAAGCTCTCTAGGGTGGGGATCCTTGACAGTTCTGTTTGACGATTCATTTGACACATTTGAATTTGATTTGAAATTTTGTGGATTTGTCAGTCTTTACGGAGCTTATTTTATGTTATTTATTATTTATTCTACTACTGATAGTTGTATAAAGGTAGTAAATCTAGATGGAAATTGTGGCAGAACTTAAATTAACAGTGACACTATCGCGATTTATCGAGAAAGACTCTAAAATAGTTGGTTGTGTAGCGTGCGGTAGATCTCGGCAAAAATTGAGCGAAATAATGGAACAACTTTTCGCTAGTAAGTGACTATATAATATACATACGTGTAGTAAACCGATCATTTATGAAATTCACTTAAATTAACTAAATTATATATTTTTCTTGCATTTTAGCTTTTATTTATTACTTGTCAAAGATTAGATGTCAAAGAATTTAGATACGTTAATTTGACTTACCTGCTTCAGTAGCGTATCGGATGTTTGTGTTAATAAATACTTATTATAACTTATCTATTTTTATTAGAATTATATATTTTTATAACAATTTTAATAACTACCAACATTTATTCACAACGTAAAATAAAATAACAAATTATTGAGTCTACCCCACGTCTACCCTACATCATAGTTTTACATTTTTTAAATAAAATTAGAACGACACTGATAAACCGGAATTTAAGTCGGCCATATTTGAGGCCCATCGCGGTGTGCCTAAGATTTTTGATATGCTCCTTCCTTAGTCTTCTTATTCAACGTGGTAATTCCCACAATTTGTGTCTGAATATTCAGATTGTACTTCAGATTGTTGAAATTTAAATGAAAAGCATTACAAATCGTAGCACTACTAACTAAATTTTTTTGGCACAATTAGCTGTTATGGCACTATTGTAAACTGAGTTGTTGAAGAATAATAACTTAGCTAATACAACAATAGGTGCGTTATATGTTTACAAAAATCTAAGAACAATCTGTGGTACAATATTGTAGTTTTTTAGTGTTCCGTACCCAAGGGGTAAAAATGGGAACCCTATTACTAAGACTTCGCTGTCCATCCGTCCGTCCGTCCGTCAAAGGTTTATCTTATGAACCGTTATAGCTAGACAGTTGAAATTTTTACAGATAATGTATCTATGTTGCCGCTATAAGAATAAATACTAAAAAAAGAATTAAATAAATGTTTATAAATAAAAAAGTACTTTCACTTAAGATTCAAGGCAAAATTTATGTAGCTTAGCGAAGGCGCTGGGAAATGCCGAAAATAAGAAAATAATAAGGAAGCCACGCGAGAGTTTTGGGGGTTAGGTGAGACTGGTTTTGGCGCTGATACGCATATCGTCTTTTGTATTTTTCTAATAAAAATTGATAAAATTTAAGTGGTGAAGTTTGAATTTTGTGTATTCTTACACACTAAACATTATCTTTTAAGTAAGAATTTTACATAAAGTCTTTCAAGTCCTCGGTGGCCGCGTGGTTAAGGCGTTAGGACTTATGACGTTGGAGCCGTAGTAAGGCAGGTTCGAATCCTAGTCAAGGCGACTTTTTTTTAATCGTTTTTTTTTATTTTTACATATTTATTTTTACTTTTTACATATTTATTATTGATTAATACAATTTTTGGTAATGTCTTTCTCCATTTTTTTTTTAAATTACTTATATGCGCATTCAAAATTTCAGCTAAATCGGAAAAAAAGTTTATAATAATATAGTGTCTAGTGTTGTATAGATAATGAATGGTACGGAACCTCAATTTTTGTTTTATGTGTTTTTTTTTTAGTGTAGAAGTGAAACAGATTTGTAATATAAAATAGAAAACTTGTAGTATGTGTGCGCGGAAAAAAAATATGACAGTGAATTTTTGATAAAAAAGTATCAGCCAGGACAGATCATATATGAGTATATTGACATCATAGTTGGGAGGTTGTTATAGCATTTATATATATTTAAATTATTTATCTATAGTTGCAGCATTATATCTATGAAAGTATATAATATGATTTAGGTATAATTCGGCTAACAAAATTACCTGGAATTAATATGAACATACTGAAGGTGTTCTTTTAATTTTTGTTTTGTTGTATATTTCTTATCACAGTGCGCACATGCAAACAACTGTCGCTCTTCCCGTGCCAAGTGAACTTTCTCGTGTCGTCTAAGTTTTGGTAAATCTCGTGCTTGGTAGTTACATGTGGAACATCTATAGTCATTTTTCTGCGATTCATGCATTCTAAAAGAAGAATTACTTAATAATATTCTGTTCCGAAAAAGCTCCAATATCATCATTTCTGATAGAAAGTTTTCCTCCAATTGTGATTAATTTTGATATAAAATAAATTTGATATAGCGGAGAAAAACATAATTAGCTTTGAATAATGTTGTTGATTTATTGGAAAAGTCTGGGTTTATGGTACAGAGTACTACTGGACCTGAATTCTGTAACTTTGGCATTAAAACGTTACGCTTTCAAAGAGGTAAGCGAAAGTATTCGATGAGCGGAACGCCAAACCACAGATTAGGTATCCTATAAGTATACAGATAAAAATCTTGTCCCTAATTCGTGGTACGAAAATTGTTTTTTATGACGATGTGCAAACGAGTCAAATTTCCTGTGCGCAAAAATAAACTCGCGTAAAATAACAATAAACAGCGTAATAGAGAGATATCGCTAAACCGAATAGCGTGCATGGACGTTAATAAGGCCAGGTGTTATTTCCTTTACGTGAGGTGGTATTAACTCTCTTCATTTATAGTTATCGGATCGGAAAGAATTCTGATCGCGTCGCGTCCGCTATTTAAACTTAACCTAACTTTGAATTTAAAACTTTGAAATTGTTTTGTTTACTAGGTATTTTAAAACTAAAGGGCTAAAGTGCTTATTTCCAGTGCTTTATTGTTCAACGTCTGCCAGTAGGTTTAGGGCAACAAGCAACAAATTCTGTTAGAAGGGCTAAGTCGTCATCTGCTGTAAACCTAAGACTCTTTATAGGTTCTTTAGTATTGGAAGAGGTGGAATCCATATTTTGGGCCATATTTATTTAATTAAAACTAATCCCAGCTACTTAAATATCAAATTACTTAGTAAAACTAAAGCAATAATTCAAAACAATTCAAACATAACCTAAAATAAAAGATCTCGCCGGCCGGCTCCGGTTGTCAAATACCATTTGATTTTGGTATCCTCGTTGCCGAGCGAATCGTTTTCTGGATACGCGTTGAGCACATATTGACATGTGCATTGACAGCATCGCAATTTCTCAGGTAATAGTCAAATGTGAATAAAACAATGAAAAATGTCAATGTTACATGAATTTCATAACCTATTGTTGAGTTATGTCAACCTATTTTTCTATGGATATGTCATTATTCTTATTATACGAGGGAAATGTTGAAGGCGCTTATACGAAAAATAAATCTGTATTATGTTAATATGACTTCAACTCATAGAGGGCGTCATCTACATATTTTTTAAGAATCTGAGAAAGAGTCTGAAGAGTACCTAACAAGTTTTCTTCCGCACCTGTATAAACCTACGGTGTAAAAAATAAAGATTTACGGCATTTTCTACGTAAAAAAGGTCTCTTAGTAAAAATCGCTGCGAGTAAAGCTTGATTTTCATGCATCCGTTGTCCGACGATACGTCAATAGGATATTAATTTTATTGGTTGAATTTAAAGGCTTCGATTGGTTAACCGTTTCTAACCAATCGAAGTTTTTAAATTCAACCAATAAAATTAATATCGTATCAACGTATCGTCGGACAACGGATGCATGAAAATCAAGCTTAATGGTTCTCGAGATATTTGGAATCAAAATTATCAATACCTGTTATCATTGACATACATTAAACATGTTGAATAACAAGTCATTAGACTGAAATCATAAATATGATTTTTTTTGTGCCAAAAGTTCAACAGAAACTGTTTTATCATTATTTTCTTGCAGAAAAAATTGATTAATTTAAAAAATAAAAATTTCCAAATAACTACCTACTCAACGTGTTTATTTTTGTAAATAATGACATGTATTGACTATTTTCATTCTAAATATCTTATACAGTTCGGACCACCATGTATAATCTCATGATTTCCCTATAATAATAATAATAATAAAAATATTTATTTCAAAAATGATCTAAATATGTACAATAAAATTACAAATATATAGACATATTGAAATATTGTCAGCGGTGAAGAGACTTTTATATTAAGAATTCATTGATTGAGTAGGGTTCCAATTCAATTAAGAGTTTTTTCAATGATTTCTTATAGGTTTCTTGACTTTCGATTGCTCTTATGTCTTCAGGGAGGCTATTGTAAAACTTTACACACATATATACTGGATTTTTTTCAGTCAGGGTGAGACGATGTGAGGGGAACTTGGCATCACTGGATCTTGTTTGGTATTCATGAGATTTTTCCATTTCAAATAGGGACTTATGTTTGAAGATGAATATTAAACACTCATATATATAAAGAGCTGGAAGCGTCATAATTCCGAAGGATTTAAAGTGTCCTCGACAGCTTTCTCTGTACTGAAGTTTCTTTATAAGTCTTATAATTCTTTTCTGAATCACAAAAAATTTTGCAGTTTCTGAATTTGATCCCCAGAGAATAATTCCATATCTCAGCAGTGCCTCAAAATTCCCACAGTATAGTGTCTTCATTGAGTCTGGGTTCACATAACTTGACACACACACAATTCTCAGACCGTAAGAAATTGTACCAAGTCTCAAGCATAGCTTATAAATATGTTGGGTCCACTTTAAATGCTCGTCTATGTAAATACCAAGAAATCTGCATTCACCACCAAGGCTGACATCCATTTCTCCAATTTTCAAATTGCTCGCTAATTCAATTTTCTTCTGTTGTGTTCGAAAAATTAGTATATTAGTTTTTTCTTTATTTAGCATTAGTCTATTTGCCTCAAACCATTCCTCTACTCTCATGAAAGCCTTACTGCCATTCTCCTTCAGAATATCTTGTGTCTATAACGATGAAGACGTCATAAAACCATTTTGAAATACATTTTTGACGATTTTTTTAACAAAATATTGTTTCTCTTGACAAATTCAAATTGAGAAATGAATTGAAAAGATTAAAATTATATCAAAAATCCCTTACATCTCTTGACTTCGCTAATACTAAAATCGACGCACCGTAACCGTTAAACGCAAATATCTTGAAAACCGTTTATTTATTTACTTATGTTATTTTACACTATCGCCATTCGCTTTGGCAGTAAAATGTGTGTAAAAGTACCAAATTTCAAGAAAAAGGGTTTATCAATATTCTTAAAATTAAACTAAACAAATTATCTTTATATATATATATATATATATCATAGGAACATTTAGTTTTATTTTTATCTCAAGAGTCACCTACCGAAGTTAGATACACTACTGATTTAACACCCTGGATATCTGATTTAGGTATAATTCTTATGAAGGATAGTTCTATTCCTATCTTCCTGCACTGTCAGTTTTTTTACGTCATCTAGGGACCGAGTTGAAGTTCGCGCTAAAGATTTTAGACAGTGACAGTTATTTTTGCGTTTGACGGAAGATGCACAGTGCGGCGGAAGATTAATCTAGCGGGACAAAACCGTTTGGTTAGAAATAAGCCAAAAATGTGTACTGATAAGAATAAACAGTAGACATTCCAATTGATATAAAAATGCATGAATTATTTTTTGGTCGTATATATTCTTTGTATTTTGATACATTTTTATCAACCAAATTTGATCGTTTTCTGCTCAGCAAGGCCCATACGAAAAGAAAATATTTAAAAGTGCTTATATATTTTATTCCAAAGCCAAATTATGTTAAAGATTGCCAAAGTTATGTACTTTTCTACTGTAGGTATATTATTTGTTAAAATCCTTCGTGCTTTTGTTCTGCAGATATCAAATTTTCACTTTTGTCAAATATTGATATATTGAATGATGTAGATCTTTTGAGTTACCAATAGTTACCAACACAGGTAGTCACATTCACAAGGAGTTCAAGCTTAATAGGTGAATGCCCAAAAGTTTCATATCAATTGGAGAGTATAAAAACAAAACAAAGACTCGTTAAAGGGTTAATTGAAAAGCATTCAAAAGAAGAATTGGGTTTTGCAAGTACTATGAGCTTTAGGACGGGAGTAAGTGGGAGTAAGAATGCTGCTGTTAATTGTTGAAACCTTAACTCTATCGAAAGGTACTGAGTTTAAAAAATTAATAACTGCCCATACACGGAAAGACCCGGCCTTCGGACTTGGCCTTGAGGCCGGGGCTTTCACCCAAATCACCATAGCGGAAATATATCCGCGGACTTTGCCTTTCACGCAAACCTATAGTATTTTGGGTTAAAGGCCCGGACCCAAGGCCAAGTCCGAAGGCCGGGCCTTTCCGTGTATGGGCAGCTAATGAATGACACCAATAGTCAGTTCGGCAATTTTCCTCACGACAAAAACATTCAAATGATGTTCTAGTTAAATAAAGTATGACGATATACTACAGCTTTTTTTTTACTTTCTGATAATTTATAATAAAGCTAAAGATTATTACTAGTTTTAATAAAAGTTTAAAAAATTGTCTTAGATACTTACTATACAGGGTGGCCCATCGAAAACGTTCCGCAAGGCATAACGGCCAGGATATTTTTTTTTTCAAAAAATCCAAAAACACGTCAATTTTGTTTGTGAGGGGGACAACTTTTGCCCCAAAAATGATTGCAAAATCTTCAACCCTCTAAGCGGGGGTGTCATCTCCCAACTTTCTTCAAATGGGAAGGGGGGTCAAGTGGTACCGCAATGAAAAGGGCTTTTTATTATCTATACTTTCCCGCTTCGTTTTTGAAAATCGGTCGAGTCATTGAGAAAATGTGAAGGGTTGAAATTTGAAAAGTTTATTTAAACATTCATAAACATCATTCATACATCAGAGTAAATGATAAGGATAAATTCATTCGACAAATTTGCTGTTTTTTCTTATTATTTCTAGATGTTTACGCATTTTTTCACAGGTTGAACGATCAGGTGCGGCAGTTGCTAGATAGCTGTTCTGTGACTTGTGCGTTGAAGTTCTTCTCAATATCGTTAAACTGACCCAAAATAGAATTTCCAAAAATACCAGCCCACACGTTCAATTTCTGAGGGTTTTGTGCACCTCGTGAAAAACCCCTCAGCCCAGTACCGACAGTTATGCCGATTAACTACACCGTTCAAAAAGAAAGTACATTCATCCGAAAAACACACATTAAATACTAAATTATTATCATTCGCCACTCGTTTACTCACAGTTTCACAAAATTGTAAGCGACGGTCAAAATCGTCTTCGTTGAGTTCTTGTACCAACTGAATTTTGTACGGGTGGAACTTGTGTTTTTTAATATCCTTTGGACACTGGTACGATTCACGCCGGCTAATTTTGCAATGGCTAATATTCTTGTACTCAGCGTACTATCCATGATAACTTGGCCCAATACGAATACCTCCATAGCTTCATTTACTACAGGGTTTTCCTTCTGCCTCTTTTTATTCATAACGGAACCAGTTTCGCGAAATTTTGCTACTAACTCGCGAACAATTTTGCCATAAAGGTGTTTTTCAGGATGGCATTCACTGAATATCTGCGGAACCCGATTGCTACATTCATTATTTTTAAAATCAAGTTCGATTATTTCCACTTTTTCTGCAAGTGAGTACACCATAATTGTTAAAAAGTTTAACGATATTGAGAAGAACTTTAACGCACAAGTCACAGAACAGCTATCTAGCAACTGCCGCACCTGATCGTTCAACCTTGTGGCAAGTGAAAAAATCCGTAAACATCTAGAAATAATAAGGAAAAACAGCAAATTGGTCGAAGGAATTTATCCTTATCATTTACTCTGATAAATGTTTAAATAAACTTTTCAAATTTCAATCCTTCATATTTTCTCAACGACTCGACCGATTTTCAAAAACGAAGCGGGAAAGTATAGAGAATAAAAAGCCCTTTTCATGGCGGTACCACTTGACCCCCCTTCCCATTTGAAAAAAGTTGGGGGATGACACTCCCGCTTAGAGGGTTGCAGATTTTGCAATCATTTTTGGGGCAAAAGTTGTCCCCCTCACAAACAAAATTGACGTGTTTTTGAATTTTCTGAAAAAAAAATTACCTGGCCGTTATGCCTTGCGGAACGTTTTCGATGGGCCACCCTGTATATGAATTTACAATTACCCAGTGTTAAAATTAAAATATCTATCTTATTTATTGTTTTCAAAATAAAATACAATTGTTTAAAATAAAATATACAGGGTGTCATAAGATTACAATGTAATTAAAAAATAACTGCTAAAGAGTTTTTTGTATTTTACCTGATATCATAATTTTATGTATTTGACAATAGTTTACAGTACGGTTTTTGTGCGTCATGTATGAATAATATAGTTTTATTATCTTGTATTTATTTATTAATAAATTAAGTTGTTAATAAATAAATAAATTTAACCATAAGGTTGCTATATATTAGACCATTTGCTACGTTCTTAGATTTTAAGTTTAAGTCCCAAACATCGCTCCTGAGATTTTGCCTCGCTAGAATAACCATCCGCCGCACTGTGGAGCGCTGGTCCCTGCGTGACGCGACGTAAGCATCCACGGCGACTACGACAGCGGCGATTTGACACGATCGAACAGTACTTTAGAATATATACAGTCCTTGTCTTATGCTAACAATAAATTTACCTGGTATCAATATGATTATCCTCGATGTGATATTTTAAGGTTTGCTTTGATTTATATTTCTTGTCACAATGTGCGCAAGCGAAAAACTGTAGTTCTTCCGGCGCCAAGTGAACTTTCATGTGTTGATTAAAATGTGACTTATGTCGAGTTTGAAAAATACATATGGCACAAGTAAAGACTTTTCTTTGCGATTTCTTCGTCCTAATAAAATAAGTTTTAAATGTTAGTCTTGTAACTCTATAAAACAAGGTATCTATACAGGGTGGCGCACCTCATTCGCTTGGTTGATCATACGAAAACGGAAAAATGTAGAAACAAAATATATTATGGTTATATGTGAAAAGGCAATGTGCATAATTTAAAATTATTTTGAAATGTACAGAAATGTCAGAACTAAGATCTACACTAAAGTTATATTTTTTCTATGGAACACCTTGTATTTTATTTCATATTTGGATCCATGGACACAAAATAAGGCCTTTATTATAATTTACCCTTTGTGGGTAAATTTAATTAAACTGTTATAAATATAACTAATAATGTCCATAACCTAATGCTGATTTTGAAAATAGTCACTGTCACTAGAAAATTGTCATGGCGACACCAGCCATCTTGATTGCCATTTTACTGAAAAATCGCTTTTTATTCAAAATCTGAACTAGATAGGTAGAGGAAACCCTAATATAGTTTGAAAGAGCATTTAAAAGTGCTTCGGTTTATTTTAGAAAATACAGGGTGTCGCATTTGAAATAACAAAGTTTTTGTGTAAAATAAATATTTAAAAATTGCTAATTTTTGGTATCCCTGTATAAATTTGAAGCAATAAAATTTTTCAGTAAAGTTTATTTCTCTACCTTTAAACTCAGCATAAGAATTAATTCTGAAAAGTAATGTACAGGATATTGATAATCTGTTCTATTGTAGCATGCATATTTAAATATCTTTAAATATCTCAAAAACCAAAGATTTAAAACATATTTAACCCTTATAATAAATACCTTTTCTAGAGCCCAAGAATCCAAAAATGACATAAAATACCGGGTGTTCCATAAGAAAAAATATAACTTTGGTATGAATCTTAGTTCTAAAACAACTTATATTTCAAAATAATTTTAAATTGACCACATTGCCTCCCCAGATATACCCATAAAATATTTTGTTTCTACATCATTCCTTTTCCGTATAATCAACCGAGGCGAATGAGGTGCGACACTCTGTATACACCTGTCATAGTTCACAGATGAGTGTATTTCAAATAAAAAATTGAATGAGAATCATCCATATGTTGGCATTATAGTTGAGAGATTATTACAGCCTTAAGCTGAGCGCGCACTGGGCCCGTATTCTGTAACTTTGAAAACGCTAAGCGCTTTTAGACGCTCAGCGTATATGACGTTAATTTTCGCTGAGCGCGCACTTAATTAACGACTTCGGTATTCTCGTCTGACGCGCTTAACGTCTTTACTGATTGCGCTGAGCGCTTTGAAAACGGTTACCTTAAAAGATCGTTTTGCTTGTCGAACTGTCAGTGAAAATCAAAAAAATTGTGATTTTGTGCGTTATCTTGCTCTTTAGTGTAAATTACTACTTCTATAAATTCCTCAATAAATAATTGATAGTTTACGATTTGGCAGCTATAAATATTGTTCAAAACATCGAAAATGCTGAGAAGCGTCTTCAACACTTCCCTCGTATAATAAGAATAATGACATATCCATAGAAAAATAGCTTCACATAACTCAACAATAGGTTAGGAAATTCACGTAACATTGACATTTTTCATTGTTACGTCCGTTAGTTATGAATTTTTGACTATTACCTACATTAGAAATTGTGATGTTGCCAATATGTGCTCAACGCGTATCCAGAACACGATTCGCATGGCAACGAGAATACCAAAATCGACTGCCTTGCGCTTCGCTGATCGAATACTTGCGCTCACCGCTTTGAAAGCGTAACGTTTTTATGTCAAAGTTACAGAATACGGGCCCTGGACAGGTACGGGCGCGACCGACTGCACGACCATCGACCGATCCGAAAGTCGATGCTAGCCGCGCACTGAACTCGCACTGTCGACGGTCGAGGTTACGTCACCAGCATATATTTGAGCATAGACGAGGAGAAGTTTATTTAAATTTAGTCAAATTAATTTGGCATTTCAAATATATTATAAAGTATTATTAGGTATATTTTTAGGCAACTTTTATATTTTATGCGTTATGATGGAAAAATTTATATTATTTAGATATTAACAAATCACATAAAATTAGTGAAATAGAGTGGAGTTGGGGGTATGGGGATAAAAAATACTACATTACTCTTTAGCATGACCGATTTTAACAAATTTGGTGTCATTTAAAAGGGCTTAATTTGATCTATAAAAACAAAACTATATATGAAAAATAGTGAAATAAAACTTCTATTTTTAGTTTCTTAATCTAAATAAGTTGGTTGATGTTGTTTAATGTAATTTTTAAGCCACCTATGTGTTTTCGTTTTTTTTTTCGCCTGTGTTCATTATTTATGTTCATGTTTACTTCGTGACTTAATAGTTCGATATTTTTACATTGAAAACTCAATTTTTTTATCGGTTTTACTTTTTAAAACCATCCCTTGCTTGCTAATTGACGAACTCTACAATCATTGAACGAAAATATTTTAGTACGGTTCAGGAAAGTCTAATTGATACTACCAATTAGGGTGTAGATCTTTTTGGCCATCACAGAGCCGTGCCTCGGTAACAATAATTAAAAAATATTTTTTTGTTACGTGAGATTCCTTTGATATTTTCTAGCGGTCGAAATCAAACTCTTCTAAATAAGTAATGATGCTATTTCTTATTATTCTTGCTTCTGTTCTCTTTTGAAGTTCATATAATATTTATTATGTTATGTTTTAATAGATATTTGCATTTTTAATCAATATTTTAAGGCTTTTGTCTCAAATTCAGTTAAGTTGGTTTATATTGTTTGATGTGAAATTTAAGTTACTTATAATTTTTTCTTTACTTGTGATCATGTATGTGTCATGTTAATTTTTTCATGACTAATTACTTAATAATTTGATATTATTTTCGTTAAAAATCTCAATTTTTTATCCATTTTACTTTGAAAAACCACCCCTTGCTTTCTGATTGATGAACTACACCACCATTGAACAAAAATTGGTCAGTACCGAAAGTAGCGAAAAAAACCGGGAAGTCCCGATTCCTAAGACGTGCGGTACTGAAATTCCCGGTTCCGGAAAACAGCTCTGGTTCCGGAAACCCTAATTATGACAAACACAGTGTGGAATTAAATTTCTATATTAGCAGTTAAATTGCAAGAATTCCTATATAAATTTATTATACATATACCTATACTGCAAGAAATTTGTTTTCCATTTTATATATAGTTTTTATTTTTTATAGTACCGTATGATCGAAAAGAAACGGCATCAGCGATGGCCATGAAATAAAGATCGATGTCATTTTACAGTACGTCTGTCCGTTCTGTAGCTACGGGGTATCCGTGAGAGGGGAAACGATATTCTCTCCATGTTTTTCGTAAAAAATTAGACGACGCGTCCCATCAATAAAAATTCGACAAATTTGCAAGTAGCCAATAAAATGAGTGGGCGGAGCGATTTGCGGTGACGTACTCGTCAAGTCGACGTATAAAATATATTGTTGTTTATTTAAATGTTTTTTGTCCGCATTCCTTTCATAGACACAGATCCAGCAAACGAACTGTATATGTAAATTTATATGGGAAATGTCATCAATCGTCATTTCCCAGCCAACTGGACTTTTTTTCTATCATACGGTAGATATATGTAGAAATATTTTATTCAAACATAAACATTATTTTCACTATTTTGTACCTCGTACGAAGCGATCAACAATGATAGGGTGTCTTTTTATCAGCTGTTATTACTAACGTCACAACAAACTAAAAATTAAATAACATGATAAGTTTTTTGAAGATATTTAAATTCGATTTCTATAATAACGTGAGCTAATCAAAACGAAATGAGAAATGAATTTAATCGGAAGGTTTTCTAATTCAGTTAGTGAATAAGTGTATTAAACAATATAGGTTACGTGCTTGTAAGAATTTTTTATAAAAAAACCGCATATTAAGTATGATATGGTCTCGTACACTTTCGAACAATAATTCGTAATAATGCGCGCTCAGCTCTATAATCCACGAAACTATATATTTTATGATCTATATAATTCCAACACAAAAATGATTTACCTGGAATCAATATGATTATCCTCAAGGTGATGTTTTAAGGATTGTTTTGATGTATATTTCTTGTCACAGTGTGTACAAGCAAACAACTGTCGTTCTTCCAGCGCCAAATGAACATTCTTGTGTTTTCTAAGATTGCTGATATGTAGTGTTTGAAAACTACATATGGCACATTTATAGACATTTTTCTGTAATTCCTTCACCCTAATAAATTATTTTTTAAACATCTTGTAACTAAAGCATACAGGGTGAGTTTTCTTCGATGTTCTCTATGGGTACCTCGGAAACTACTGGAGATAGAGAGTCGGTTAAATGGGGAAAGAATTGCAGTTTTGTAGGGTTTTGTGAAGTTCATGGCTTATTAGATATTTTGAAAAAAACAAATTTCGGCCATTTTTAAAAATTGTCCCTCATTCCATTATAATATATTTTAGACAAAAGGTTTTCAGATAAAAGTTGTAGATAATCACATCCTTAATGAGATTGTGTTCTCCACATAGACAAACAAATAAAAAGAGACTGGCAAATTAAATGGCAAAGAGAGGGACGTTAAATGGCAAAGAGAGGGACGTTCCCGTAGCCTGCCGTCACAAAACATCCCCCTTTAGAACTTTTTCTTTAATGGCCATAAGCGGGAGTAAAAGCCCAACCGCCCGAACAAACACTAGAGGCGCCACCGGTCATCAAATGGTGTAAAAATTGCGAAAATTTAATCATCTAATTTTGACACAAGGGGTCGCGCTTAACTTTTTAAATTTTAATTCAATATTCATTGTTTTCAAACTATATTATTAGACTTTGTTGTATTTTATGAATGTATAAATGTTTTCTTAGTATAAAGTTGCATTATAGTAATTTGAATTATATTACATACATATTTAAGATTCAAATATTATGACATTATGTCAGTTGCCGTCCATGTCATCTTGATAACAAAAAGTTAGTTATTGTCTCTGTTATTGTCAAAAGTAGTTAAAATCGTGTTAAAATATTAAAATTTACAAGTTATAATGATATATTTTATATTATTTCAACAACAAACACATAATAGTACAGCGTAATGTTGATATGCAGGTCCAAAACAAAAAGTGCCGTTATATTTTTCAGTTTTCGTTGTCACCTGAGGAAGTTTCAGTGATTTTAGTGTTGTCGGATATTTTTATTTGTGAAATAGAAATATTGCGTTTGGATTGCAAAACTAAAAGTGGAAGTTTTATTTTATTACAATGTAAGTAAGCGTTTGTCCATTTTATATTTTACTTTTTTCATACCTACGACAAATATACATATATTGAAATTTTATAAATCGTTTTATTTAAAAAATGTTAGAAAACAAGCTTGTAATCCTGTAATTGACATAATTGTTATGTAATATATTCCATTTAAATGTAATATATTACTTTACAATTTAAAAAATGTAAATTTAAAAAATATATTAAAAATATATTATACAGGCATTAATTGAAATTTTTTGAGTGCGAACAAACACGAGAGGGGCGCTTTATTATTTACTTTCATTTCTTAACATGACGAAGGTCTAAAAGGGGATGTTTTATGCCTGCCGTAGCGCAACTCAGAACCATAGATAAAAGAAAATAATCTACCATTAAGATAGATATGAAACTTAATAGTAAAATTTTAGGTCAAAGCGCCCCCCGTGTTCTTAGTAGAGACTACGTTTAACCCAGCGCCTTCGCCTTTTCTGCTGTAAATGTTTTTTATATTTATATTTGAATTCAAAGGATTTATTTTTAAAGTTACACTGATATATTAGTAATCAGAGTAGCTTTAATAAAACATAAGAATATATATATATATATATATATATATATATATATATATATATATATATATATATATATATATATATATATATATATTTTACAGTTTATTAAAAATAAATTTTGACTACAAGGTAGAAAGTAAATCACAATATTTGATAAAACTTATAAGTATACCATTTTTACATTTAATAAATAATAAAACTATTTCTGACTATGATATTTAAAATTTAGATAGATAGAAAATTAAAAAACATACCGGTATTTGCAGACGCAGGCCCAAATTCAATAAAAACCAAAATTTTTCCTGCGAAAATCGGGATTTTTTCACTAAAAAGGTATTTTTTGATTTATCAGCAACCATTGTCAAGTTGACAATATACAGGGTGTTTTCTAATTAGTCTAAAAAAATTGTGGTGTGATTCCTCATGTGTTCTTAAAACAATTTTTATATAACCATTAGGTCTAAATTGGGTCTAAAGTACTTCCTTTCTGATCTACAGGGTGTTAAAAATTTTAAAAAATGAATTTTTTGCTTAACATAATAAAAATAAATGGTACACCACTGCTTTTTTAAAGAAAATATATTTTTTTCTTGACTGGCCATCCTTTTTCAACAAAATTGATCTTTTGAGTTTTTCTTGTTCATCAAACGGTTGTCGAGAAACAAATAAATATACTTATTAAGAGCCCGCCTTAAGCCGTTTTCTAACGATTTTTTATTTTTTAGATTAATTAGGAAACACCCTGTATATGCATATCACAGGCAACCAAATAAACTAGTAACCTCTAAAAATTATTTTTCCCACCACTAGCGACATACCGTGTTTTTAGTGAGTACTAAATTATTTTATCAAAATTTCACCATATAAGTTTCCAGGCAATGCTCAGAACGCAAAATTTCGTTCTATTTATGGTGATCTGCGCATTGCGTCTATTGGGCCTACTATCTCATTCTAATTTAACAAGAGAGAAAGAAGCAGCCATATAAAACGTAATTTCTAAATAGAAATTAGAACAATCGCCTTTCGTTTTCGTTATCATGACAACCAAGATGACATCATGACAATTCGTCATGTTTGTTAATTTTTCTTTTGGTGATTTACTTTTTTTTCTAAACTTTCCAGTTTATTGACTTATGAATATGGATAGGGAACAAATTCCTTTGTTCCATATAGGTATTTATATTTTGTTACTTATAATTGTAGGTTATACTATTTGTTATTTTATTTGCTGCAGGAGCCAGTATCATCTATATGTATTGGTGCCCCCTTTCTCTGATAGATATGTTAAAGACACCCGGTAAAATAAAAGAAAGTGGTTATATTTATCTTCTTATTAAGAAAAAAGTAGAAGTAGTAGTGTCAAAAATATTTCGAACCTCTCTTAACATAACAAATTAATACAATTAATTTTTTTCATTTTTTGGGTAGGTAGTTTATAGCTGGTTTATAGTAAACAGAAACTTTATTAATATACCTATTTTACTTTTGTTTTAGGATTAAAACTGGACTTGAAAATGGTTCAGGATCATGATTCTCGTAAAGCCTTCTTTGCTTGGATATTCACAAAATTAGATTTTTAATGCCCTTAAAAAATTGGCCGATTGTTTCCTGCAATAGTCAGTTCTTCTGCATTTAAAATTGGTAGGTAGGTGGAATAAACACTGTTATTTTTTGTTATTATATTATAAAAAGTTTATTTATTTTTATGTATAAATAAATATGTTTATAAAACAGTACAATTTTTGCTTTTTTTATAATTTCCCTTATAATAGTAGCAAATTTTCGTATAAACTGATTTATTCCCTACACCACGTTCTCTTTACGTGGTATAGGGAATAAATCAATTTAAGTGAAAATTTTCAGTTTCAGAATGAAAGAATACTACTAATAATGGCTAATTTAAATTTTCCGCCCGCCAGAATGTGCGATAATGTCTTACGATACGTTTTATACCTATCTCTTTCTGTTTCATATAAAACACACATAATAAAGAAAGATAGGAATAAAGACGTACGTCCTGCCATGGTCCTGCTAATTGGTTTCAAAATTGTTATTCTGAGTTGCGCTACGGGAACGCGGTCCCCCTCTTTACCATGGGATTTGTCAGTCTCTTTTTATTTGTTTGTCTATGGTTTGGTTTGGTTTGGTCATTTTTGACATACGACACAAACACAATATGTTTTTTTAAATGGAAACTATAGTTGGCCTTGACTTCATAAAAACCGCCATTTTTTAAGCATTTCAGCGATATAAGCTGTAATATGTTTTTTTTTTCGAAAAAATTACTTTTGAATTACTCAGTCTTTTTTAGACTTACATTCACGAACACTAAAGTTAGTTATTGTCTCTTGAAAGTAAAAAAGCATCTATGAAAAAAAAAACTTTTGAAAGTAAAAAAGCATCTATGTACTGTTTGACCAGCGGATCTGAAGCTACGGAAGGAATGCGAGAAAAAAAAATCGATATTGCCACGTTTATCTATAAAATTGCAAAATTGCCAGACATGAACTATAAATTTAACATATTTTTATTATATATAATGTGTTTAGCATATATTCTGACGTATATTACTAAGGAATTTTAACGTAGTTCATATTGTTCGATATGTTTTATTTAATAACTTATTTCTTTCATTCTGTATAATCTGCTTATTATAAAAGTTGAAGATTTTTCAACGATATCATTGGCAAACCGGCATCACCGCGCATGGCCGTCTATTCATCGAACCTGATTGGCGAGAGTACGTCACAAGATTTGTTACCACGCGGTTGCCATGGCTTTTACGCCTTTCCTATTCGCTTGCTTTATCCCCAACTTCACGGTCTCTTCTGAAAAGAGTAGGAATATTGAATACTATTGAAATATCCAGTGGCGGTGTCATTTTTTTGATCATTATTACTTTATTTCATTATTTTATACCGGTTATCCTAAACTTTATTCCTATATTTTTCGTATATTTGATAGTTAAGTTGTGTTTTATTGTTTTGTTATCTTGTTATAATGTTTTTCGTTCGTAGTTTTTAATTATTAATATCCAGTTTGATCATATATTTGTGTTTTGAAAATGAATAAATCTGTTAAGGGTAAGACGCTACATAGTCAGACAAGAGAAATAATAGCTAATTTATATAGGTAAATTAATAATAACGTGGATGAAATCTCATTTGGTTTATTTCCTTCTGTTCATAATAGGGCTTGCGATGAAGAAGCTACAGAGAATTCGCTTAAGTTGCCGCTTAAACGTAAACTTGAGCGGATATTTCTTTATACCGGAGTTAGCGTATCGGCTATAAAAAAATTCACACAGAAGATAAAAAAGGCTGAAAACTAACCCCGATAAAATGATATCCAGCTCTGGAAAGAAACGACCACGTGAGACTGCTGTCGAAAAGCTCGACGACTTTTTCGAAGTGGTCAGGAATTTGATAAATAGATTTTATCTCGAATTCAAACTCGTTCTCAAAAGAAACGCTTAGGGGGTTATGAAAATCAAATGAATTTTTTTGGCGTAAATGTCAAAATAACAGATAAGTATTAATGGAGCGGCCCATTATATTGCAGAGAGAGAGATATAAATATATACGCGAAATTAGAAAATATAGCCAAGTATTATCTATTTGGATGAAACATATGGGTAGCCAATGACCTAACCTTTAAAAACTGCTGGCGGAGCGATACCATATATCTGGTGTAATAGGCAATATTGGATCTACTGGTGAGTAAAATTATGTTTTGTTTGCGCTTCCAAAGTTAACTATTTTCAAGATTTTTTTTTGCTGGAAATAGTTATATCTAAAATTATGTATTATAGAAAAAATATAGTTAGTACAGATATATAAATAAATATACCTCAAGACTCAGTCTTGATCATCTGCTGATGGCAGACATCGTTAGCGAAACGTGCGTCCAGTGTAAAATTAAAAGTGTTTTGGTGTATTGTACTGATTTAGTGTTCTATTTTGCTGTGTAACACCAACCCCCAGCTGTAATTATTTCTTCTATTATATTAACAACACAATAATAAAATGATTCAAAATATTTAAGGGAGCTTTAATCAAAGCTTTTAGTGTTTATCTGCTAACTCAACAGTAACGATTCAAACAGCATAAAGTTTTTTGAAAACAAATATTAATCTGAGTATTATATTTATGATACACATTATTTTCATATAACACCGTACGCCCATGCCTATTTTATGAATGAAATTGGGCGTGTTTTGTTTACAACTGCGTTCCCCTGCCGATGCCCCGTAGCTACAGATCCGTTGGTCACACTATAGGTATAATGGTGGGTTCATACAGCCAAATAAAATAAAATAAGAATAAAATAAAATAAGAAATAAGGAATTCTTATTTGTGTGCGTTCATACAGTCAAATAAAATAAAATAAGAAATATATATTTGCTCATGCGCAGTACGATGAGGCTGGATAAAAGTTAACTTTTACGATTGTTTATAGTAATTTTACCATTTATAGTATATTTATTTATTCGTTGCCTACTATATTATACATTTTACTTATGTGAAATTATAAAATAAATTAAATCCAAACTGAAAATATTTGTAGGTTAGAATTAAGCGTGCGCAAAGCCGTTTTCACATAAAATAAAACAAGAAGTTAAAAGATAAAGACTTCTTATTTTATTTGTTATTTTATTTGGCTGTATGAACGCATGTACGGTATCCCATATAACCAACTTTCTTATTTTATTTTATTTTATTCTTATTTTATTTTATTTGGCTGTATGAACCCACCATAATTCAATGACATCGAAATAAATTAGACCCGGCGACTCACATTTTGGCGAAATCCATCATTGCCTTAGAAAATTGCATGTATGCCAAATTTTCACTTCGACCGCATTTAAAAGGAAATCTTACCTACGTATACGTACGGGGATAGCAAACCCACATTGTAAACCAGGGATTCCAAATATAGATTACGTCGTAGAATACTTTAAACCGACAATAATTAAAGGTAGCCAACGGTAATCACCAACTACTCACAATCAGCATTAGCCGTTAGTTAAATCTTCTGTAATTATAATTTTTAAATTTTAAGAAATTTAACATAAAACAATCGACAACGTCGCAACGCCAGCTGATGCCGAAAACGTACGCATTTTACTATCTTCACTCCTAAATTTAGGCAGCCAACAAAACATCCAGTTCGAATTCGTTCATAAATTGTTTTACGGCGTTGCCAATGTGTTGTCGTTTTTCGAAATGTTTTACGAGGTGATTTCCAGATATTTTAGTGTTTTGTGGTATTATTTTTAGTGATTTTATTGAGAAACAATAAGACAATGGTGCGAACTTGCTTAATTTGCAAAAATAGAGACGATTTAAACCTAGAAGTTTGATTTCGAAGGTGAGTAAGGCTATGTTACATCAGTGCGGTGCCGAAAGGTAAAATAGGAAAAAATCTTTGGAAAAGTAAATCACACAGTTTTGGAATGTACCGTTAATAAGTAACGAACCATTACGTTAAGTTAGTTTCGTCACGTTTGGTTTTATTGAATATTTCGTCAGGTTTGGTTTTATTAAATATTTTGTTCATAATATTTAAATATTATTAAAACCAAGTATACAAAAAATGCGAATATTAATTTGTTGAAAAAATATAAAAAAAAATTAAAGATGTCATAATTACGAAAAATGTTCAATAGTGAAATACCATATGATTGAAAAAAAAACGGCGTCAGCGATGGATGTGAAATGAAAATCGCTGTCTTTTTATATGTAAAATTATATGGGGAATGTCATCGATGTTCATTTCTAAGCCAACTGGGCGCCTTTTTTCGATCATACTGATTGTTATTAGGATTTTTAGTTATTAAATATGATTTTTTAAGTGTAAAATCAAAATAGATTTATATAATGATTGAAAAAAAGTTAAGGGATTGAAAAAGATAAGGGGTTGGATATTACATACTAAATACCGAATGATCGAAAAAAAAACGGCGTCAGAGACTGCTGAGAATAACAATCGAATATAATTTTGGCGAGTTTTATTTCTAGATGTCGTTTATTAAAAATTGACATAAAACTTGTCAAAAACTAATACTAATTATAGAAAAATTATAAAAGGATAGAACGTTTCCAGAAACACAAATCGATATCCAAAAATTTTTTTTTCGAATTTATACTACACCATTTAAAAATCAAATACAACCATAAGGCCTACTACTGCCACTAAGTGCTATTAAAAAATAAACAGTAGGGGTCATGACATATAACCTCGCCAAAATTATCACCGATTGTCGTTTATGACGCCGTTTTTTTTTTCGATGGTATAATTTTTGTGGTAATAGAGGAATGTATTTTTTGTTTTGTTTATTAAGACTAAAAAGATTTATATGTATAGTTTAAAAGATGAATGCGTCTTTGATATTTTTTTAAAGCATTACTTATTTTTTGTTTGGCAATTTCTAATGAAAAGTTAATTATTTATTCAGTACAAGGTCCCGATTATCCGCGAAGAAACTGAGCCAGAAATAAGTAAATATTTTAGAAATTTTCTTTTGTTTAACAAAGATCTTTATTATTGTTGTTATATAGTAATATTTTTACACCTAATATAAAATTGCAATTAGTCACGACAGTTTTAAAATATTCTCATTTTCCACCGTGCGTTGCTTCAATCAAAATAATAACCATTCATTCAAATAAATGATTTATAAAAGTCGTTTTCGGCTCGTATTCATTGAATGTTTGATGGATTATATTACTACTGCAGCAATTTACAGACATTACTATGGAAATGTGCATATCATAATATTTCAATTAGTTATTTTCGTATAGAAGTCATTGGAGTATGTATTTTCGTAATTTTTAAAAATTTAAAATGTATTTTGGCAAGTAGTATTTTCAAAATTTGAAGAGCCATCGAGCACAACAATATATTGTATCCAAAAATCATATTTACGAGAATATAATATTAAATTATATATTACAATCAAAGTAACTACGCCACTGGCACACATTCTCAAGATCTCTGAACAGCGTTGCCATTCTCTCGGGAATCCTTATTTTACGATCAGCCCGTCTTGTTCCTACTCGCATAGAACAAGAAACGAATGTCTGATTCTGATCTTTTTCTTTTTATGAATGAAATGCCGGGTCTACTTTATTTAGAGGTCATTGGTATAATTCTTGACAAGAATAAATTTACCTGGAATCAATATGATTGTTATCAAGGTGGAATTCTAACGCTTTTTCTGACATATATTATATTTGTTGTTGCAGTGTGCAAAAGGAAACAACTGGCGTTCTTCCGGTGCCAAGTGAACTTTCTTGTGATGGCTCAATGTTGTGTTTGGAAGCTACATGTGGAACATCTATATACCTTTTACCGCGGTTCCTTCACCCTAATAAAATGAAATTTAATTATTACAGTCTCATAAAAGTCGTAACTCTATTGATTAAATATATAACCTTACATATACTCTCATTCTACCATTGCTATAATTCGCAGAAGATTAGAATTGAATTAACAAAGGATTTTTGTTAAAAAATTAGAATAGAATCAGATTATGAAAGAATTTACAGATGTATAGAACAGTTATAGTATAGATGTATAGTATGATATAAAAAACGGCGTCAAAGATAGTTTGGAAATGAAGATCGCTGGCATTTTATATTATGTAAAATTATATGGAGAATATCATCGACCACACTGCGGCTGTCCCAAGGAAAAACACAGGATATGCATTTTTTTTCTAAATATTTTGGTAATTATTGGAAAAACTGGAAATCGTCTGATTTGCACAAACATTTGTATACGCCCTATTTTGAGGTCGAAGATTACGAATCTGAACTTTTTTTCTGGCGGTCTCTTACCTGTGTCTCTACCGTTTTTCAGAAAAACGAAAAATTATTTCAACATCGAATTTTCCTTAATTTCTCATACTTTTAAGGGTTTCTAGCATATTCTATCAGTTTCTAGCTATTTTGTTAGGTATTCAATAAACAATGATGTTTTTGCTATTTTCCTCTATTTTCTGTTACTTTTTTAACCAATTCTATACCTTTGTCTATACATAGAAGAAAATTTGCTAAAATAAATTTGTAAACAATCTGAAAATGTTGGGTTATGTGTTTCTGGCATTTAAAGCAACGTTGCCAATGCTAAACCTAAATTTAGCATGTTTTTTTCGCTCATTCTGGGATTAGGAAAGGCGGTCGCCAGAGAAGAACGGCTTCCAAGCTTCTTCCCATAATTGCTACCGTATGATCGAGAAAAAACGGCGTCAACGATGGCTATGAAATGAAGATCGCTGTCATTTTATATGTAAATTTGTATGGGAAATGTCATCGATCGTCATTTCCCAGCCAACTGGACGCCGTTTTTTTTCGATCATACTGTATTTTACCAACGAGATCTGACATCTGTAGAGGTGGGAATTCTAGTTCCTTGGGAGGAACTAGGTTCTTAGTTCTAGTTCCTCCAGAGGAATAGTTCCTTGAACTAGGTCCTTATTTCACAATAGTTCTCGACTAACATTGACATCCCCTTTGCTTGCTAATGGATTTCGTTTTGTCAGAACTATTCACAGTTTACTATTCAAAATTATACAGATCATTATAATTTTTATAATGTACGAAATATAAGAAGACGTGTAATTGCATATGTTAAAAACATATAGGTAAGTTTTATAGCAGATAAAAAAAATTAAAGAAACTCGAATCAGAGTTTAAAAATTATATCACAAATCAATTGGAGGAAATAATACGAAAAATTTACGAAAAAATGAATTTTTCCTCACTTCAAGCTTTTTGTTTTTGTCTAAAAATTCAGAATATCTACTTCGCGGTTTATAAGATTTCTTAATTTTAGGGACCTAAAGTAAAACATTCCCATAAAATATTTAAAAAACAAAGTAAAAATCAAAAACAGTATCCACGACAAGTTTCTGTGGTAATTACGCCGCGCCGGCTGTGGCAATAAACAAGGCCGAATCCATCGTCGTCGCCTTGTATTATATCTCGGATCTGCCGACTGAATAGATTCCCGTGAACTAGTCTTTTAATAGTTCCTCTATGTCCGGATCCGATAACATACGGCTGGTACTCCCCACGCCTGCCTAGCATCAATCGCGCTGGCTAATCCATACGTAAACTAGTCTTTTATTTAGTTCCTCTAGTTCCTTTAGGTCCGGATCCGATAACATACGGCATACGACTGGTACTCCCCACTCCGGCCTAGCATCGATCGCGCTGGCCCGATCCGTTCGTACGTAAACTAGTCTTTTATTTAGTTTAGTTCCTCTAGGTCCGGATCCGATAACGTACGGCTGGCACTCCCCACTCCTGCCTACCATCGGGCTACGCGCGCTAGCCGATCCCTTGTATCATGGCCGATCCGTCGCCGTCGCATATTATTCTATATCGGTCACAGTCTCGATCCCGGAACAGGTCCTGAGGAACTAGTTCTTTGAGAAACCAGGAACTAGTTCCTTTCATTCCGGGGTCGGAATAGTTCGTTGGAACGAACTACACACCTCTAGACATCTGACCTTTGCTTATAGCGTGATTTGATTGCATCTTGATTGCATTGGTTTTACTATTCAAAGGTTTTACTCTTTTTGGTTGGATTGGTTTAGTTATTTGGCGAGTTGGTTACAAGTTGGTTAGCGTGGTTATTTGGAGGGTGTTAATTCATTGGTTAGTTGGTTATCTGGTGGGGTTGGTTGGTTTTTACTAATTTATATTTGTTTTTTATATTTTTTTACCAGTGTCGAGGTTAGTTGCGTTGGTTAAGTTGGTTTTTTTGGTGGGGTAGGGTCTTGGGATGGTTTTTGGGGTAGGGTGGGGTGGATAGCGTTGGTTAGTCCTTTGAAAGATCCCAAAGATGTCGCCCTTGGTCGCCGCTCTGCTGTGTTGTCTTTCGTACGCTGACCAATAAAAACCAAGTAAATTTTGTTGGTGCCGTACTTGTGCCGTAGGTCTGTAAACTGTAAAGATGTTTATATGCCTACAGGGAACCGGGAGCTGTGATGAAGTGGCAGAGATCGAGATATGGTTACCCATCTCTACACATAACCTTTTAAGTAGTTCTTTTGAATTAGTTCCATAATGTAATTAGTTCGTTCATATCAAATATGTCTTTTAAAGGTTTAGGTTAATTTCTTTTGTAAATATCATTTATCTTTAGTGATATCTTATTTTTTAATAATCTCTTTGATTAAATATAATATATTCTTGATACACAATAAAGTGATAAACTTCAAGATTTCGGGTATTTTTTTAGTAAAATTATAGATATTTGAAATAATGGACGAGGAACAGGAAAAAGTCCTTAAAAATATAGGTATCTTTTACATTAAATTATTACTGGAAATTTGATTTAAAATATTTTTTTACAGACCAGAAAAAGAAAAAACGACGAAGATTTAGAAAATCAAAAATAAGAGATTCCGATAAGGATGTAGCTAGTATAAGCAGATATTTTAATAATTTATCAACTGGTACGATTATAATAATTAAATTATGAAAAGTGATAACAGTTTTGATTTAAGGGAAATTAGAAAGTTTAATGATACAATCCACTGTTCATGATGATGGGCAAGAAACTGACAATAAATCCAATATCACTTTTCAGTTTGATATTTATCCTGTACAAAACAAGTTGAAATATTGTTACTTTAAGCAGCGAAATAGACGACAGAAATATATAAATTTAAAGTCATATTTAGGTTCTGACAAGACTTATATTTTTGTAACTAAAATCTTTTTAAATCAATATAATAGTCAAGTTGAGCAAATATTGGAGGATAATACATCAGAGGTAACACTAATAAGATTATTTATAATAATTATGACAAGTAGAAAAGTAGAAACAATTAAATTTTCCATTTAGGTTGGTAAAAATGTTAAAAATATGGATAATAAGTCGGGTCGTAGTATAAAAAAAGAAAAACATAAACATAAGAAAACAGGGAGAAGAAAACTTAGTGAAGGTAAATTTCCCAGTTATTTAAAAGAGGAAGAAGTCTTAGAAGGTAGTGTGTTAAGTGTGATCTAAAATTCTTATGATTTTATTCAATTTTTGCCTCTGTAGGTTTACAAAATGGAAACTTAGTTAAAGGATTTTTAAGAATAAATCCTAAATCTGCACACAACGCTTATGTTAGCAATAAAGACAGTTCCATATCAGATTATTATATAAAATCGCTTATTGATAGAAACAGGGCATTAGAAGGAGATGAAGTTGTGTTAAAAGTAAAACCTAAAATATATTGGGAAGAGGGACAAATAACTGCTACTGTTGTTTACATATTGAATAAGGTAAGATTAGAATTTATTCTGTATGTATAGAAATACCATATGATCGAAAAAAAATGGCGTCCAGTTGGCTTGGAAATGACGATTGATGACATTTCCAATATAATTTTACATATAAAATAACAGCGATCTTCATTTCATAGCCATCGCTGACGACCTTTTTTAGTTTTGTACAGTATTACAGATAAAGTCTACATCGTAGAGGTATATAATATGTTTTTTTTTAATTAACTGATTTTTATCAAACTTGACTTTGGCGTTAATTTTTGCTTGAGAACTAATTAAAAATGGCATAATAAAATTTAACCTGTAACTTTGTTAATTCTAAAGCTTGATTTTCATGCATCCGTTGTCCGACGATGCGATGATACAATATTAATTTTATTGGTTGAATTTAAAGGCCTCGATTGGTTAGAAAGGGTTAACCAATTGAAGCCTTTAAATTCAACCAATAAAATTAATATCGTATCATCGTAACGTCGGACAACGGATGCATGAAAATCAAGTTTAATTGCCTTTTCTAATTATTATTTTAAGTTATTTTACATATAATTTTGGTTTATTTATTTTAGGTGCACTCTAGAGTAGCTGTAGGAAACATAAAGCCAATAAAAGATAATAACGAATTTGCTGCTTTTTTTCCTAGAGATAAACGTTTGCCTTCTATGGATATACCTTCTACATGTTGGCCAAATGGATTTTTAAATAAACCTGATTTATATGCCAATGTTTTATTTTCTGTTAGAATGACAGAATGGAGCATACCAAGCTATGCAATAGGTACGACCTTTGTATCTGTAGTAGATAATGTTATTCTTTTTTTTTTATTCCCGAATGAAAAAATATTTGACGTGACATTTAGCGTTCACTTCACAGAGCATCACGCGAACAGTTATTGATTTTAACGATCACTCCTTGTACCTGCTCAAGTCATCGTCGGCCAAACTCATTTTTCTTAACATTTAAAGGCACCCAGGGGCCTTATTCTGTATAGTGATGAAGCTTTGGAACAGGATCTGTTATTTTCGAAACAGGTTTGTTTTGGAACTGGCTTGGAACAGGTTTATGTGCTATCCTATACCAGTTCCAACTGTTCCAGCTGTTTCAAAACACTGCAACTTAAATTAAATAATTAAGGAAATAAATTCTTGGAATTGTGGTTTAAATTATGTTATCTACTATATTTGTGATACTAGATTCTTAATAGTGTATTTTTCAAAATGAGATAATTATAAATTATATTGCATTTGGCAACATCGCCAGTACTTTTTTTTGATGGTAAGAAATTCTCTACACCTATTCTGTTTACATTAAAAAAAAACTCTGCGTAAAAAATGTATACATACCGACAAAGAAACCGCTTGTTATGATAAAGGCGACGACCTTTTTTATAGGCATGATAATTTTCGAAATAGGTTTAAGGAATTCACTTTAAATTTTTTTGTTTTGGCTAATTACAGTTGAGGGATGGAACCTTTGGTGTTAAACAGCAAAATAAAAACACTAAATCACCACAATACACCAAAACACTTTTACTTTTACACTGGACGCGCGTTTCGCTAACCATGTTAGCATCATCAGCAGATGATTATAAACTAAAGTACAATCTACAAGTTGAGCGTTTATATACTCGCCCAGTGGGCACCGAGTGGGCGTGGCAAAAACTAGCCAACCGAGTCAGAGCCAACTGAGCGTAACAGTTAGATTTCCGCCACTAGAGTAGTAGGAACAAAGAACTTGAAGGAATTGGACCGTTGTCTCTGTTCATACTATCTTTACATTTATTAATTCTGATGCTTTCATATGCATCTAATTGCCTGTAATTTGAGACTTATTTTATTAATTTTAAATTATTAAGATCTATACCATGTTCTTTATCAACAATATGTTCGGCAACGCAAGATTTATCCGGTCTACCATATCTTATCTGAGCTAAATGTTCTTTAAATCTAGTTAATATTGATCTTCTAGTTTGCCCAACATATTTCTGATTACAATCTTTACAAGAAATTTCATAAATACCCGACCTTTCCAGTGGAGGTGTTTTATCCTTTGTATTGCCTAATAATTGTTGTAATTTATTATTAGCACTATACACAAGTTTATAATTGACATTCTTAAAAATTACTTTTAGACCACAGGATAACTCTCTATCAAACGGTATCGAAAAATATTTAGACGTATCTTCCTCCACTTGAAAAGTCGAATTTTCAGGAAATCATTAAGCTATACCTACGTTTTCTAATTAATTTATCAACTAGTGAAGGAGAATATCCATTACACTCAGCTACATTCCTAATGTAATCTCTTTCTATTTCATTTCTTTCGTTGGAAAGTGGGAAACTAAGTAATCTATGAACTAAGAAATTTAAACTAGCCATTTTATGTTCAACACTATGATGTGATTCATTAGGAATATATCAGCGTGTGGTATTTTTCCTATAGATATCAAATTCCACGCAATTATTAGTATTTCTAATAACTAATACATCTAGAAATGGTAATCTGTCGTTGTTCTCAATTTCATGCGTAAATTTAATGGAAGGAAAACGATTATTTAACTTAGAAATAAAATTATCTATGGTGTCTCAATGTGTGTCAAAAACAACAAAAATATCATCCACATACCTAACCCATACTCTTGGAAAATACTTAAACTGATTCTTAGCTTCCACTTCAAACCTGCTCATGAATAAATTAGCCAAAAATGGAGACAATGGATTACCCATTGCTGTACCTTCCCGCTGTTCAAAAAAGTTGTTATTAAATTGAAAACAGTTTTGTTTCATACATAACGATGTAAGCTCAATATATTCAATCACAGTTTTGTTGTCGAGACCATTTGCGTTCAGTAATTCCTTCAAATAGCCTAAAGTATGTGGAATTGGAGCACTTGGGAACAACGAAGATACATCAAAGGAGACCAAAATTTCACCTTCATGCAATGTTATATCTTTAATTTTGTTAATGAATTCAATATTATTTTTAACTGAGAAAGAAGGTTCATGATCAGGTAAATTTTCGAACTCCCTTGATAACCATTTTGCCAAATTATAAGTCGGAGAACCTACAGCCGAAACAATTGGGCGCATAGACTTGTCCGGCTTATGAATTTTTGGCAAAGCATACAATTTTGGTAATGAGGGATTGGATACTTGCAATTTCCTCTTTAAAGAAAGATCAATAAGGGTGTTACATTCTTTTAGAGTTTTTTTAACGTCTGCTACCATCTTAGACAAGGGATTCTTTTTCAAATTTATGTAGGGGCCATTATCGATTAAGTTGTTAACCTTATCATAATAGTCTTTTTTATCTAATATAACAACCTTATTTCCCTTATCAGCTTTTAGATAGAAACAATCTTTGTTACGCAAACTCTTGACAATATTGTGCTCTTTGTTAGATTTTAATGAATTACTTGAAACAATATTTTTTGATAACTGATTTCTACAAGCCTCTCTTGCAAATACTTTAGAAGCCTCGGGCAAGTGCTGAATAGCAGTTTCAACACCAACGACGATTTCCTCCAAAGCGCTACCAGAGTTGGGCAATGCATACTTTAAACCTTTGTTTAATAAACTGAGCTCTTGTTTATCAAAAGTCTGCGAAGAAAGATTTTCCACTATGTTTATGTCTCTTTGGAAAACATGTTTTTTTAGAGCTTTTAATTTTTAAACTTACTATTCAAAATGGACATTTTTTAACAAATTTTGAATTGATAACCACAAACATATTTCTCTGAAAGAGACACCAACATTCATACTCTACATTAGTTAGCTTATAAGTAAGTTTTTTGTAAAGTCCATAGGCTTCAATTTCAAGCCTACTTCGTTTACTATACAGAAATTTGATTTCTAAATCAAGCCATTTTTGTTTTGCAATTTTCTCTACCTTATCACTAACGTTACTTTTCGGAATATCAACTTTAATAAAACTAGGATAAACTAAATTTTGGCTAATTCGTGCTACCGAATTATTATCTAGAGTTACTTGGTGCAGTTCAATCATCATTATTAAGCGGGAATTGTTTTAACCGATCGCCGAAGAAGACTTAGTGCAAACAAATTAAAACAATTGTTATTAAACGTTAACAATTTCTTCCAAGATTCTTTGTGTTAATTTATAATTAGATGTTATAATACTATTTTGCTTGTCGGTACTCTTTGAGCAAACCAAAATAATTTTAGTCTATCTCTGTTATTATTTGTTTAGTTGTTAATTTAGGGTATAAATATTTATAGGTCTGTTGAATTTTTATTATTACAAGAATACAGTAGCGGCTCGTGACCATTAGAACTGATGAGGCGACGCAAACGCGGATGAAAAAAAGACGGGGGGGGTCGAAGCTGCAACAAGTTTTTTTTGTTCCTTTTTTCATCAATAAACGATTTTTCCTAACATATTATATCATTATATAACATTTTTGAAAGGTGGGCGTTTTCTAAAAGTGCATCTCTAAATTAATGTGGACATGTTTTTGGAAAGTCGAACTAAGTAAACCTAAAGAGTTTTGAATGTGGTTCTTTGACGAATCGTGCAGTTTGACAGACCGAGAAAATTTTTTTAAGTCTATGTACCCATCAGTTGTCCAAACATTTTTTGATTTGCCTAGCAACAAACATGGCCAACAAAATAAGCGCTGTTTAAAATAACTACCGTAAAGCCAGGAATGAACCGAGTACCACGAACTCTGAAATGAACGCGCATATTTTCGGCCCCCCTTTTTATTTTTTTATTTATCATTTGTTATAACACTTATCTGGGGAGTAGGTCTGTTTCCCTGTAAGACCTCTCGGTTCTCATCTTCCTGTCTTCTGGAAAACGGGGTTTCACGACATGGGACATCACAATGTCATGTACAGGATTCATTTTAAAGTCTGATTATTACAAAATAAATCACTAAACTCTGAATTACGGCTAGATCACACTACTTGCTACTCACAAAAGCATAAAACAAACCGACCGAACAGACGTGACGTTTAGTAATTCCCCGAAATATCTAAAGTTAAATATTTTGACCAGTATTGCGTGGATGCCAAGAGTTCATATTATTCACATTTATTCTATATACTATATACTCTTCGATATACGATATTATTTCCATAATTATTGATGGGGTATTTCGTGAAGATCAGTTAATAGATTAATTTTAATTACAAAGAGCATTATAATATTGCATTATCCAGCCATATCAAGCACGAACTATTTTTGAACTTAACAATCAAGTTTGTAAAGAATGGATTTTTTTCATGAATCTGGCAACAGCGTTGCATTTAAGCGATTTGGCTGTCGCCTCTGCAGCAGCTAATTTCACGCTTTCCCTCCGCTTCCCCGACCCACTGATTTCAATGTGTGACGTTTTAGTTCATTGATAAAAAGAGGTCGGCAGAGGCGGCAAAAATTACGCCTCAGGAACGTAGAACGAAAAGATGCATTGTAGTCCAGTTAAAACAGAAACGATATGGCGCGATCGGTTGGTTTAGACCGGTCGAAAAGTAAAAAACTTGGTATATTTTAATAAAATTATTCAATATTAATATTGCTATATTATAAATATACGATTAGCTGGAAATAAATTTGTGTACTACTAAAGGCTAGAATTTCGAGGTGAGGCGGCGCCTCAGTTGCCTCACCTGACGGGCCGCCACTGCAAGAATAGATTTTGATTTGTGTACTATCTAGGACTTTAAGTTTAATATCTAGGAATGTAAGTTGTTTTTATTTTATATATGTATTTTGCTATTTTACATATATAAAATAGTAAATATTAGATATTCTTT